TCACTTTTAAAATATTTCAAATAATTGTTTCTTGTTGTGTTGAATATGAAATATAAAAATTGTACACTATAAATTTATTAATTTAAATAAAACAAAACAAAATGGTTATTAGAAGTGCAATGGTGAGCATTTTTATCTTGTACATATATTTAAATTAATTAATTTTTTTTACGTATTTGAATTTATTATTAAATGAAATGCTGGAATTTTGCAACATATTTCTAATTCACAATAGACTGATTTTTGAATTTGGCAGCATTAAAAGTAAATACGTAAAATTTTAAGCGAGTAAAACCTAACTCTGAAGATTTTAAGAGCATTGTTGTTGTTTCTCATGTGTTCTTTCGTTAGTTGGGAGTATTTGTTTGCTACTCTGAAAGAAAAAATTACGCATATTATATGTTAATTAAGGTTAATTACAATAGTATAAATGATATATATTTTTTGTTTTATAAATGAGCTACTTTATTAAAGGATATCATTCTTTTGCTATAAGAATAACGTCCTTGTACACTTTATTAACATCCCTCGTATAAATTTTTTTAAAAATTTTTGTTTTAATTAATTTTGTTGCATTGTTTAAAATATTTTATGCATTTTATAAAAAACAAAAAGATAAGTTGCTTTTTTAATTAAAAATATAAAAATACATTTATATGACAACAAGAAATTGTCAAAATATTTGCGCGTTGCATTGCAAACATTTTGTGAAGTATCTTTTTCAGTAATTCATTATTGTTGCAGTTTGCTAATTTATATTTTCTTTATAATTTTTATGTTGACATTATCATTATTGTTGTTGTTGCTGCTGGTAGTTATTTGTTGTCACTGTTGCTACGGCTGTTGTTGCTGTTGCTGTTGCATTTATTAGCGACAAAGTGTTGACAAGTTGCTTGCTTTATGTTGCTTAAGTTGCGAACAGCATATACTACTACAACAACACCAAAAACAACCAACAACAACGACGACAACGACAACGAAATCATTGATTTTACAATTGGAAGCCGCCGTCATCGACTTTGTGCTACTTTATTCAAGCATTTTGTCCTTGACCCAAAATCTCTGTATCTATTATAATTTATTTTTTGCAACTACGAGAACAGGTCACATCTATCTAATAGTTTCTACTACCAAAGTAGCCATGGCAATTGCTGTGCATTATTGTTGCTGTGGTTGTTGCTGCAGATATCCATAAGCGTAAAATAAATGTACGCAATTGCATCAGCAATTGCAACACAAACACCGGCAATATAAATATACCGGTAAAAATTTTTATATTATTTTAATTGTACATATCATATGTATCTGCAGTTATATATTTATCTACAATATATCTGTATTTTTGTATGTGTAAACAGTATGAGTTTTGTATTTTTGTTAGCAAAAGTGAATGAGTCAATTTCGTTTTTACTTTAGTTTTCTGTACAATTGCAAATTGCAGAATTGGGTCAAATTTTTCGAGCTCATTTGTAATATAATTTTATACATTTATATATATATATACTTATATACTTTTTGCCTGTCAAAATTTGTTAGTCTTTATAAATAAATATATATATATATATATAGCTTGTGTGAATTACAAGTCTATTTGGAAAAATGGGACACAAAAAACTATAAGTTTAAGTGTACTTCGTGAAAGGAAAGAAAACCTTAAATATTGCCCTAGTTTTATTTTGTTGAGTAAAAACTTATTGGAAAGGTACTTTTTACGAATTCATTGTAAAACTAAGTAAACATATTGAAATATATTGAACATAATATATATTGTTAATTTTTTCTTGCCAAAAGTGACGCGTCTTTTGACGAAAAGAAACTATTTAAAAGTTAGAAGGGTTCGAATAGAAATAAAAAGACAATTTAATTAATTTATTGAGTTAAATTTTAATAAATTAACTAAAATTTTTGTTGCGGTCTTTTTATTTCTACTCGAACTCTTCTAAAATTTATTTTGGTTTTATTATATTTATTATTATTTATTTTTAATTTTGGATTTAAAATAATATTTGATCTGCATAATTTATGATTTATTTTGTCCTAAAAACTTTTCAAAATTTAATAAATGAATCGCAAAAAAATCAGATTCCATTAAGTGCAATCCAACTATTTAAACAGTTGACACATCCTTCTATACATTAGTAGAGAGATTGCGATAATTTTCAACGAATATTCATTTATAGCCACAACGACTTGAAACAATTGAAGTATAAAGTTTAACTTCGAAATCAGAAAAAACTCAAACAGCAACAATTAAGAGCGCTTGGGGTATCACTCTTGTACGACAAAAGTTCTTATTAAAGCGCTGACTTGGCACAAGACATCGCGAAAGACCGCAACTATTGTGGAGGAGGACAGCTTTATTAAAACTGGGAAATCGTTTATCGAACTCCGATTAATAACACATATTAGACTGTACTGGAAATCGTATGGCAATAATGATACTAATAAATGAAAAAAGGGAGCAAAGAAGGGGGGTTATGGATAAATCTCTCAATGTACTTGCATTGAAAATTTTAGAACTGTAATAATATAAATAATTGAAGTCGTTTTTGATTACCAAAAAGACTGGAATAAATAGTTACAGTACCTTACAGTATAGAAATAATTTGATTCGCTGTCATCTAGTATGTAATAATAATACATAAATAGATGGTTGCAAAATGTAAAAATTATCCATTGTGATTTTGTATCTATAGACATCAGTTTATTTATATTTCAATTTTGATTTATCAGTGAGATTAACCCATGTATTGGAGTTTAAATTCAGTTCATTTTTAATTCTATTTTTATTCTGATATTGTAGATAGAATACGTTCCTTTTTTGTAGGATATATAAGAAAAACACAGGATTTCTAATAATATACTCCAAGAACTCTCTGAGCGGGCATACTCATTCAACAAATTTTTATCCGTTCCAGAGCGTTTTTCGGCTTAAAGGAGTTAAGTTCTTCCAAATAATGATATAAAAAATAATTTTAGTTTAGAAAAATTTTCCATTAAAAAAAAGATTTCCACTCAACAAGGACTTCCTTCATTAATAGAATTTTTAATTACATATATCAGTTTATTTATATATATATATATAATGCTATACCATAAGTGTAAAAATAAATATCTGAAATGCAGAATTAATTAATAAATTTTTATTATTGAATTATTAGTTATTCGACATCGTATGTTAAAAATAAATAATTGTACTAATTATTATTTTAACTTTTCACAATTCTTTCCCTTCTCACCCCATACATATCAAGTTAAATACATTTGTTGATTTTTTATTTTGTGCTAATTTGTAGTTACTTATTATGGCTACTGTCCATATTATATTGATTTTAGCTTTATCCATTGTATGAAATGTAATTCTAAAATGTGTTTTTCATGTTGTTGAATAAATATTTTTTTAGATAATTTTATAAAGCTTTTAAAAATACTTCAATATGTAATTATTAGAAATTAATATATGTTCTACTATAGGTTTGTTTTGTTTAAGTAGTAATAGTATATATTTACACATATTTTTATATATTTAACCAATTTATTAGAGAATAAGATTTTATTAAACCCAATATATATTTTATTTTATATTATAAAGTAATATGTATAACATATTAAAATGTTTTATTATATATATAAATAAAATCGTTTTGATAGAGAAACATTTACGAAATAAGTTTTATCTAAATCTATTATTTTCTATTGTATTTATGTATCGATGTTTTATATAATCACATATAATTTATTTATATACATGTTACATGTGATATAACGTTGACTTAAAATGTCCTTTATATCACTTAAAATGTCCATTGACATAGTAGGGTTCCTTAATCTGCGTCGAAAATAAGAATATTATATATATAATATTAGTAGTCTTATGAAATCAATGTTTGAAGTGATGGACCAAATAAAGAAATTTGATTCCTCGTTATTTCTGAAATGGAATGCTTTCTGATACTCTATATAGTCATCTGATGATGACTATATTAAAGAAATCAATCAAAAGAAAAAAATATTTAATAAATATTTGGTTAATATAACATATGTATTATTAAAATTCCAATAAATGAGGTCAGGAGTTGATTTTCTATTGCTTAAATTTGAATAAAGAAAATTTACAATATATAAACTCTGGATTCTAAGTATTAATTTGAATTTAAAAATATACTAAATTTCTATTTAGTGAACTTAAAATTTTCAAAAAACTGTTACAATACATTCAAGATTTAAAAATACACTCTTAGAAATTCTCGAATACCTAAGCATTATCGTAATTATTCTTGTTATTTAAATATCAATAAAATTATTATATATCATTTTTTATTTTTATATATTATTATTTATTTTTATATATTATTATTTATTTTTATATATTATTATTTATTTTTATATATTATTATTTATTTTCTTCATGATAATATAATTTTTCTTTTATATATTCTTATTTTTTTATACTATTTTTTATATAATTTTTTTTTTGATTGTATTTTTTTTTTTAATTATTTTTAATTTTTTTTTTTAATTATTTGAATTTTTTTTTTGATTATTTTAATTTTTTTTTTTGATTATTTTTAATTTTTTTGTTTTGATTATTTTTAATTTTTTTTTTGATTCGTTTTAGTTTTTTTTTGTATAATTTTTTTGTATTATGTTTTATTTTTATTATTTGTATAATTTTTTATTTTTTTATATATTTTTTTTTTACATTTTTTTTGGATTAGTTTTTTTTCGTTTTATATTTATTTGTATTTTTTTTTTAGTTTATTTTTATAGTTTTTTTATGTATTAATTAAAATTTATTTATATAAATTTATAATTTTTTTATATTATTTTTTTTTATTGTTTTAATTTTATTTATTTTTATTGTTAAAATTTTATTTTTTTCTATTGATTTATTGATTATAATATTTTCTGTTAAATGGTATTATTTTATAAAAAAAATGTATTTATTACTATTAATTATAATATTTAGTAACAACATTTTTCCTATTTACAATTTTCAGACTGCGTTATACGAGACAACAACAATATTAATTTCTTATAAAATTAAGGAGTAAGGAGTAGAGACTTGAATTTTCTAGTATTTTGGAATGAATATCAAATCAAAGATTTACAACAATTAAAACAAAAAAACCCCAAAAGCCTTACTTAGTGTGTTAAATTATTTTAAATCAAAAATCCATAATAAATAATAAGAGAGCCTTGAATTAATTATAAAATAATTAATAGTAAAAAAAAAATTTAAGAAAGAGAGAAACACTAATGATTAGAAATTTGTTATAAATATAAAAATAAGTTAAGTGCATATCACAAAAACAAGGAAATATATATAGTGATTAATAAGCAACAAAGCAATCATACAAAATATTTTATCAGCTAATAACATACCATTGTAGAGTACGGATAAAAGAACATTAAGCATCGATCGTATCGACAAAATCAATCAGATGTACATAAGCAATAGCACCACTGGTATGGCTGCCATTTTACCACAGAATAAGAATTGCATGAAAACTTTAACAAATGGTGGAAGTAATATAATTGTTGGCAATGTAGTAGGCGCAGCAACACCAACAACTCATATTGGTGGAAATACAACACTTGGTGGCGTAGCAACTCAAATAACTTCAGCAGCAAGTGCAACACTTGGTGGCAATATAGTCTTGCAACAGCAACAACCAACGATATTACTAACGAATGGTGCCACTTCTAGTGTGATTAGTTATCAACAATATCAACAACTGTTAGCTCAACAGCAGCAAGTGCAACATCAGCAACAACAAGTCGTTAGTGTACCGCTTGGCAGTATTGTTACAACGGGCAATGGAGGTTTGACAGTGATTTCTGGTAATAATTCGAATGCTTCAACAACGCATGGTGCTTTCATTGTTGCAACTTCGACTGCTCCAACTGTTACAGCAAACCATAATCCAACAGTTAATGTTAGCAGTTTCCAGCAGCAATTTCAACAGCAGATTAAACAAGAACAGCAGCAGCAACAACAACAACACTTACAGCTGCAACAACAGAATAATGTCATTGCTACAACCAATTTAAATAATATTTTGCAACGGCAGCAAGTGCCAACCTCACGCCCTGCAAATGTAGTTTTTGCTCAGAATGCAGTGTCAACAGCAGCTCCTGTTTCCATTTCAAATGCCACAGGCACACGCTACTTTGCGCAATTCGCCCCACAAACCGCCAACAATAACACCGCCAACAACAACAACAATAACAATCGTACAACTCATTTATTGATAAATCGTAATAATAATACAATTATTGCTGGTAATACCACACAACGTTTGCAGCATGCAACAATTTTAAACAAACCACCGGTACAACGCGTTATCAATACAGCAACATTGCAGTCAATCAAACAACAACAAGTAATTCTAAAGCAACAACCACAGCCCCAACAAGTGTCACTTGCAGTTAAAAGAAATGCTAAACCAATTGTACCTGCTGTATCAGCAGTTAAGTTAGTATCAGTGGCGGCAGGAGCAACAGCAGCATCACCAGCAACTACCGCTGATACCCCAACCGTTGCAACAACCAACACGCCAGCAACACCAATAACTGCACTCACAAATGGCCGAGTCATTACTTCAGTACCAGTTTCAGCAATTAATCATGACAATGTTATACGCAGAAATTCGGTTATTTCTAATAGCTCTGTAGCACCAGTAACATATGCTAATCAAAATTCTTCTACCTTGACTTATACTAAATCGATTGGTTCTACAACGGCTACAACAGGACCAACACCAATACCAAGATCAGTAGCAGCACCACCATCCGCATCCGCATCCGCATCTGCACCTGTACTAGCCTCAGCACCAGCCACAGCACCAGCACCAACTCCAATTTCTACATCAGTTGATAGTGCCGCTGCTAACATCAAGCGTGAAGACATAAAACCTGGACAAGAAAATACAGACACAGCAGCACAAACCTCTGCAGAACAAGAGGAGCCGGAGGTAGACATTGTTATTAACAATGTTGTATGTTCGTTCAGCGTTCGCTGTCATTTAAATTTACGCGAAATAGCTTTACGTGGTTGTAATGTAGAATATCGACGTGAAAACGGTATGGTCACTATGAAACTTCGCAATCCATACACAACAGCATCTATATGGTCTTCTGGTCGCATAACATGTACTGGTGCTACTTCTGAAATTCAGGTAAGTTTAAAATAGACTATATAACCATTATGTTATATATAATGTATTGCTAAACTAATTTCAGGCTAATGTTGCTGCTCGCCGTTACGCTCGTTGCTTAGAAAAGCTTGGTTTCCGTGTACGTTTCTCTAATTTTCGTGTTGTTAACGTACTGGGTACTTGCAGCATGCCATGGGCTATTAAAATCGTTAACTTCTCTGAAAAACACAAAAAGGATGCCAATTATGAACCTGAATTACATCCTGGAGTTACCTATAAGTTGCGTAATCCAAAAGCAACCTTAAAAATTTTCTCAACTGGGAGCATTACAGTAACTGGTAAATATATATAATTTTATATAATTTTATAACCACATAATATATATTAATAATAGAGCAATTTTATGGGTGCTTTATTAAAAAATAACTGGTTTGTTTTTTTTTAATAGTTTTTATTTTATTCAAAATATTTTTCGATATTTTAACTTGTATCTTCTGGAAAGTGTTTTCCGACTTCAAATTCGCAGAAGATGACTTCCGAAGATAGTCGAAGATAATATCGGAAAGTAGTTTTAATAAAAAGCCCTTTGACAAAAAAAACAACACAATTGGGTTTGTTATTTAACATAACCAATTAGCCAGCCAATCAGTGGTATTATAGTAATGGTAATATATTCAAGATCTCAAGTCACGATTTCGGTAATCGAGTAACATAGTACAATTCGAATCGCAACAATAAAATAGATATATACCGGCTTTGTACTATTACCGCGGCACTTACTTAAGATCGTTAAGTCTCTAACTATATTATCAAATCGGTTATCGATACATTTTTTTTAATTTGGTTTTAATTTTATTTCCTTATAGCTGCAAGTGTAGCCAACGTTCAAGCGGCCATTGAGCACATTTACCCACTAGTACATGAATTCCGTAAAAAACGTTCACCAGAAGAGCAAGAGCAACTACGTCTTAAACAAATGAACCAACGTAGTCTTGAAATTCCTGACAATAAGCCGTTAGAATCCCGTGTCTCTAATATGAAAGAAGCAAAAAAACGTGTTTCACAACCACCCATCAGTGATATTGATGTATTAGCATCAAAGAAATTTATTCTCGAGTCGGGGATTGCTATAGACAAATGTGGTAAAAATCCCATTAAACGTTCACCATCCGAGGAATGTTTAGTGCTCTCAACTTTTGATGATTTAATTGAAGGGCCGGAGGATGAAGAATATGAAGACGACGAAGAGGATGATGAAAATGAAGATGATGATGTAGATGAAGATATAAACTTTTAAATTATAAACAACAAAATGAAATGTTAAAATTTATTTAGTCAACACGAATGCAACACTCCTTTTTTTTCTGTAATCAAGTCAGAAAATCAATCTACACATTAACATTCTTTTAAGAACTAAAAATATGAAATATATATTAAATTAAACTATTCCACCTAAATTAAGGTTTCCTTATGTTCTTAAACAAATAAATATAAATTGAGTGTTTCAATTCGGAAACTCTAGACAATTAAACTGAACATATTAATTCTTTTTAAAAACATTATCAATCTACATATAATGGTTTAGAGAGAAATGAGCCAAATATTAACAAATTAGTTCTAAGGTGAGTTCAAAAATGATTTTTGTTAGATTTATTTTTTAATTAATTTTTCTTATCAATTTTCCTTTTCAGATATTTTTTAAACTGCTGTACACTTTTTCCAATACGAAAAAAAAAACAAAAACAAGAATCTAAAACCAAAACACAGCAGGATAAAATCGCAGCACATCTTAAATTATTTATTATTATTATTTGTTGTGCTATAATTTTAATTATTAATTATTTTCATTCACTGTAATACTTTTTTCATAACTTATTTCTCTGTATTTCGTAGCAATTACTACTACTATATATGATATGTATATATTTCTTTATTTAAACTGGTATAACATAATTTCTATTAATTCAAATCCTGATATTAATTTCCACATCGATTTAAACAAATATATGAAAACCACCGGAATTGAGAGAAAAATAACTTCATAAAACATATATTGTATATATGTTTTTAAATTAAAATAACTTAAATTTAAATTCTTATTATAATCTTTATTGTTAATATTATAATTAAAATATTTTATTATTTTAACTTGTTGAACTATTAGTTTATACTATAGTATATCTGAAACAAGACGTATTAGTTAATTTCAATAATTTATATATGAATTCTTTTTAAACACATAACAAAATAGTTACTAATTCAAGATTATTAATGTAATATTGTGTTTAATGAGAAAAACATCAAATTTTATTTACTTTTTCTGGTCACTAAGAAACCAATAACAGTTTTGTAAAAATATAATAATGTAACTACTCTAAAAACAGTTAAGTCCTGATTGATAATACTTTGTTCAAAAAAAAAATGGCGAAATTAATTCTGTTCTAAAGTTTGTAATTTTAAGTTATTTTATTTAATTTAAAAACTTTGTTAAAAAATAATTTTGTTGCATTATTATTATTATTATTATACTTTTTAATAAGATTGTTCCTGTTTTAATTTTTAAAAGTATAGAAATATTTTAAGTTATATATAAATTTATATACAAACAAATAATGAAAGCAATAAGTATAATAAATTTAAGCAAATTCAATATTAAGTTTAGAATGAAAAAAGTATTTATGAAAATATAACATATACATATAAAAGTACATATACATTAAAAAATATATACATATATTCAAATAATAAGATTATTTAAAAATCAGAGAAAAACATATAAAACATAAAATATGCTACTACAATAAATATATTCAGAAACGAAAGAAAGTAAAGAAATTAAACTCGAATTATATTTTGTGTTTAAATAAAATAATAATGTTTAGAAAATCCCACGTTATGTTAAGTATGCATTAAATTTAAAAATAGAATGAAGTCTTACCAAATATAACATATATATATATATAAAATAAAGTTTTAAATTATGTGCCGATTTAAAATAGTTTTGTTAATTAGATTTATGTAAAAATTTTTTATAGTGGCACTTAAAAAAAAATTAAAAAAGTTTTAAACTTAAAAAACTGATTAAGTATCTAATGGGTTTCGAGATAATTTTTTGATTGAAATAAAATAATATATATATATATATAAGTCAATAATAATAATTGTCAGTGGTATTTATTATAATTATTTATATTTATTAAGTAATACTGACTAATAAAAGCACAATGCAATGCTTGTCATTCTGTATAATAGAAAAATGATTTACAAATCATTATCACCAAAAGCTTATTTAAGATAAAAACTGATATATAAGTTAATTATGTTTATAACTTCTACGCATACATCTATATTTAATTTCACAAATTTAGAAATCAACAATTTAAAAATAAAAAAATTAAATTCTTATTGAACAATTAATTTAAAACTATTAAATAACAAAAGCTATTTCTTTTATAAAAAGTTATTAATTTTATTGACAATTTAAAAAACAACATTCGTCAAGAACAAATTTATAATTGAATTCTTATTTATACTCAGTATATTTACATATATATGCATAAATATATATGCATATATATTTTATCATATCCATTTAACATTTTATTTGATTACTATATTTTCTGAAGAGAATAAAACTAAATAATGTTTATAATAATTTTATTTTATTCTTATTTGTTAGAATTATCAATAACACTCATATCTTAAATTTCTTATACATAATCATTTGTTGGTTGATATAATACTAATATGATGAACATTTTGTAAAACATACATATAAACATAAACATAAACATAATTTCATTTATTTTTTAATAAATGCCTATAGGGAACAAATATCTTTACATATAAAGAATAAAATAAATAAAACTGATTTTTTTCTTGTATTAAAATTAACAAAAAATAAATATATATTGAAAACAAAGAATTATCCTATACAATCTTAAACAAAATTGAAAAGTAAATGATTGTTAAAAATAAATAAATATTGTAAAATATTTATGCTAATAATACAAAAATTTATAATACAATTGTAACTTGTATTGCTTTTGTAAGTATGGAGAGAACCTAAACATAACTATTCAATTTGAATGCAACTAAATGAACTTATTTTTAATACTTCTGTGTAGTATAGTTAATATCTAGTATTGTTCAGTGACATTATATACATATATATTTTTTTTGAAACACTTTTTTATAAAAGAATATATAAATACAAAAATATCAACCTTGTTAAGAACTAAATTTTCACACTACGTTATAAAATGGTTCTCTTAAAGACATAAAATTACAAAAGTTTGCAAAAGTATTTTTATTTTGTTAAAAAAAAATGTAAGTTGCTTAAAGACGAAATTCTAAATTAATAAAACATTAATAAAAATATATAAAATTGATGAAATTAAAAAACTGCCTTATATTAGAAGCAAAGAGAATAAAAAATTGAATTATTTTTAAAAATTACACAAATTACAATTTTTGTTCATATATATATATATATATAACTATATATATATAACGCTAAATATATGTATAATAAACATATAGAAGCTTGCTTTATTTTTATATAAAATGTCAATTGCATCTCATTAAAAAATTAAATTAAAATAAATAAAAGTGTTTTAAAAATTATTAATATATAATATAACAAAATTGAAATGTAATAATTATTTACAAATTTAAAGTGGGAACTTTTTGTTTAAGTGCTTTTTAAATTATTAAAAAAAAGAGATGAATAAAAAGGAATTCATGTAACTTATTTATGTAATATCATTATATAAATATGTATTACTTTTTCTTCGTTTTGCCGTAAAGACTGCATTATACCAACCAATTAAAAAATAAATGAAATAAGCATACATATATTGTAATACTATTGTTATAATTAATTAATATTAAAATGAAGCAAATTTAAACAAAAAGAAGTGATACATGAAAAGATATGTATGACAACATATATATAAATTTATATAACAAAAACTTCCTTTCAAAGAAATAAAATTACATAAAACTGTTTAATTTTTTTTGTTTTTTATTTTTGGCATATGTTGTAAGGAAGAAAACTATTTTATTACAAAGTTTAAAAACTGATGAACAAGATGTAATGAATTAAAACCAATATAATTGATTTCATATTATGTAAAAAGTACTAAATCTAACATTAAGTTATAATGATACAATTATATTTAGTGAAATAATATAATTAAAAAATTAAAATGTAAACTAAAGTTTAAAATTCAATAAGCTGAAAACTAAAATTATTGATAAGACGACAAATCCTAAAATATTCATTTAATTTAAAATAAAATATATTAAAGATTTATTTAAAAACTTTTTAATCTCTTCTTATATAAATATAAGTTTTCTTGTCCGCTTCATTACAGAAAATTTTAGAAATTTATATCAAAGAAACTAAATATTTCTTTGATGTAGCGTTTTCAAAAAACAATATTTAAGAACAATTTGAGTGAATTGTATTCGTACGGTCAAAGTCCCCAAGCACAATCTCTCTTTTTATTGAATTGTTTTATGAATTTATCAAGCATAATTTTAATATCAATTTTTATGTATATTATCTGAAATTGGTAACTTAAATTGATGGTGTATTGATCATTATTACCCAACACTGCTACTAAATGAATTCTCTGAATTTCTAATGATCCATTGAGTAATTGATTGGATCTTATAAAGCAAATACATGCAACAGAATCGCAATAACTATACAAAATAAATAGGTGGTCATTGTGTATCAGTAAACCGATGATAAACCATGCAACAGAATCGCAATTACTATATACTATAAATAGGTGGTCATTGTGTATCAGTAAATCGATGATAGCTATCACCCTAGGGTACAAATTAAAATCAAGATTAACGATAACATGTGGGATAGATGTGTAATTAGCACACACATTAAAGATCGCTGTGTTTATGCGTAATTAATAAGTAACAGAACAATTCTTATTGCAAGTGGAAGGTGCTTTGTTGGATGAAAATCTGTTTACAAACTTTTTTAGATATAACCGTTGCCTCGGCGAAGAAAAATTCTTGCCAATATTCGACACCATTGATGTTATCTCCATTGCGGTAAGTACTGGTATACTTATATCACGAAGAGGAAGATCGGCGTATGCACCAAGTGAAGAATGGCTCTACTATCTTTGATACCATTTGAGTACCTATATGTGTGCCGTGCTTTAAGTTATTCTCATCAGTGGCATTTTTTAAGGTTATAGAATATTAATAAACATTAAAGACACATATATTAAAACGTTAACTTATGATACTTTCATCAGTATTTATAAAAAAAAAAGATCGGTTTTTTACTTGGAACAAGCATTTTTCAGTATCTTAGCCTCACCATAAAAATCTAATTAAAATCAGACTGGTGTCTATGTAAGGGCTTGATAAGGAACGTGTGAACCGTGTTTATATATCATAAAAGTTTTTGTCACACACTTTGAGGAAATATATCACGGTGAGTTAATTTTTAACTTAACAAAATTACGTTTAAATTTACAAAATATACTATATATACTTTTTATTTGATTTAAAATTAAAAATTGTATATGACATTATTAAAATATAAAAAAGATAACGAACTTAATTGTTTTATTAACTATTTAACCCTCTAATGCCCAGCACCGCCTCAAGGCGGGCTTTATAAAAACGGCTATCAAATGCTTATTTGGTTATATTTTTAATATTTTTTTGATATCAGGAGTTAGATAAAGTGTTATATTTTATTAAAGTTTATAACGTGTTTAAGTATTCTGTTCCAATTTATGTTTATAACTGTGTGAATTGAGAATTCACTTCATTTAGAGCAAAATAATTATTTTTGAAGAAACATGATTTTTTTATATAAAAAACTTACAATTTAAAAGAGTTTGATTAAAAAAAAAAAATACAGGTAAGTAGATGGAAGTATTTTCTTTCAACTAGAAAGAATATTGTTTTCATTCCGTATTTATAATGTGCTTAAATTCGTATATTCCTTAAACCGTCTAAAGGCGGGCCTGGGCATTAACACGAGAAATAAATTGCCCTGCCATAATACATGAGTACAAAAAACACATGGGAGAAGTAGATTTGATGGATGGTTTGATTGGTCGTTACCGTATTCGTATGAAAACGAGAAAGTATGACGATGGTAAATGCATATATTCTTTATCATCGTTTGCATGGAAATTCAAAGTACCAACTTCCTGATTTTCGTACTGTAATTGCAGAAACCCTCTGTAACGTTGGTCCATCTGATACTCAAAAACGTGGTCGACCACCTTTGAATACACTACGACCTAAACCAAAGAGGGCATATATTCCCCCAGCCGATGTTCGTTACGATGAAACAGGTCATTGGTCTGAATTTCTTGATAGATCGGGCAAAAAAACTTGTAAAATGGTTGGTTGCAACTCACAAAGGCAAGCTTTTTGCACAAAATGCAAATTAAATTTGTGTGATTCCACAACAAAGAAATGTTTTTATAATTTTCATAAGTTTTAATTTTTATTATTATTATATTATTTATTATTATTATTATATTATTTATTATTATTATTATATTATTTATTATTATTATTATTTTATCATTACTAATAAAGACTGCAACCAAAAAACAGAAATATCCATTTGTTTTACTCACAAAAGTCAGCATCCTTTATTTGTATTTTTATACGCCTAAATGCCCAGGACCGCCTTGAGGCGGGCTTGACTTTTTTTCGATTTACAAGACAACGAGACATCAGAATGAAAAAAGGACTTTGGATTCGGCTTTTTTGACCTCAAATTAATCTTACCTGATTTTTTCAACTCAAATAAAAAATGTGGCATTAGAGGGTTAATGAGGAACTGCTGGGCATTTTATTACTGTTTTCAATGAAAAATTGGAATTCAGATTCAAATGTTTGAATGGTATGATCGCAGATTTTCTGTAGCTCTTCCAGACCACGTCGCAATATATCTATTGCTCTCACTCCTCTCGCCTGTATACGAAAATGCATTTTGTTTTCGGAAGGATGTGGTATTGTGTAGCCACAAAAATCAACTTCATCATATCTGCATATTATAGATTTTAATGGATTGCCTAGCGTATGATCTTCATTGGTAAAAACAAATGTTCGCGATCCTTCTTCTGTGTCTCCTGATAACTAAAACAAAATATCTTCAGAAATTATAAGAAAATGGTAATTTAAAATAATAACCTCTGCTAATGCAATCGGCATGTTTTTGTCATATATAAATAAAACGAATGCTTTTGATAATATAACGAATTTATTAAAATGCACTTATTAAAGAACGTCAAATAAATAATCGATCTTTCAATGCCAAAACACATGGAAGTATTGCCAGCGGTAAATTTTAAAAATATTATTTGTTTGAGAAAATAAGTCGGATGTAGAAATTATTAAAGACATCAAAAAGATAGAAATTGACATGAATTCCTCAAAAATCGTACTACAAATTGAAAATTAGGTCTGTTCCATGAGCTACACGTAGTAATTTTGAGTAACACTGTGTATACACAAGTGCGTTCTACCAACGAATTTTCGATTATATGAGATCATCTAAAAGAGCATAACATCCCTGTCGAAAATTGAAAATGCTACACAGACTTTACTCTTACATTTTATTTCAAGTAAAATTTATGTTGTTGGGTGAATCAGCTGTTTTGGTTTGATTTTAAATTTTTGAATTTTTTATTTGTGCGGCACTGGTGTTCTCACAAGACTTTACACAAAGCTGTTCCATGAAAATCTGTGCAAAGAGCGTAATTTGGCACTTTAATTTGAGAGCGTAATTTGTGTTACGCTCTCAGTTCGTACTTTACTTGTGTTTTACTTAAGTTTTACTACAAGTAGCTAGTCGAACAAATCTATTAAAAACGTATATGCAGTTCTAAGAAAAATCTCATTTAGTATATTTGCAGGTGGCTGATAATAAGTTACTTCACTTTATGTGTTCTATATCATTAGTTTTATATGGCATTTACATTGACCGAAAATGGCTCATTTTGAATGAGTTATTTGAAAGTGTTTACATTCGTTGTAATTTGTTTGTTCTCATTTCAAACAGTTGATTTTTCAACTTGGCTGTTGATTTGATTTGAAAATGTTGCATGAAGGTTAAATATACCTTCAAACTCTAAAATATGTACTGAAAACATATTTTTGAAAACATATTTTGAAAACATACTTCAATTAAACACTTTTTGGGAAGTAGAAGTTCTAAAAAGAGGTGCATCGATTCAAGAAAATGCCACCACCAGACATTTGTTTACCTTTTTTTGTAAATATGTCAAAAACAACTTTCCCAAACTGTCAAAATGTAATGAAGAGCTTGTATTTAGGGTATGTTCAATGTATTATTTTGTATGTGGAACATATTTAGAACGCATTCGAACGTCGTTGGAATGCATTCATACAGAATGTGATGGATCGCATTCGTACTTGAAATTTTGTATACAAGAGTGAGACATTCGCTTTTCATTTTCGATTTTTGACCAAAATGAGCCATTTTCAGCCAGTGTAAATGCCGTATTAAGCGAATAAATTTATACAATTCATTTAGGGCGTTTACTATATGATATGATATGTTGTTAAACGCATTGTAATTGTTGTTGCATTTGAAACAAACGCTAGTATATGGGTTACAATCAGAGCATGAAGTTAGATTTAAACAGACAAATTCTACTACTAGTTGGATTTTCAATTGGTAAATCTGGATTCAATCTAGATTTATCGATCTCGAGATATTAAGAGTTCTAGGGTGTGCAAGTTCAAGTAAATTAGGATAAAGTAAATTAAAATTTCCTAGGGATTGTTTGTACTGCACTTACATAAATATTTATTTATATATTTATTGCCCTTATTTATTTTTGGTTAAAAGTTTTCAAATTTATTTATGTATTTATTAAACATCTTATAAAATTTTCACAATGGTAACACCTAATTTTCTTAATTTTTATCTAATTTACCCTATTCGAAATTCTGGTATATACTAACATTACTGCCGTACCGACATAATTTACTATTTCTCTTAATTTACCATCAATTTATTCGAACTCGCACATGGTCTTAATAGAAGGTATGAACCTTTTGACACACTACATTTGAAATTATTATTGGCAATACTGCTGCGTTCAATTTTGTCGAGTCAACATTGACAGTAGGAAAAATTTGTTTGTCATTTTGTAAGGCTGGGAGATTTGTGGATTTGTGGAAGTATAAAGTTTGAACTAATTTATTAATTGAATTTGTGCTTGTATCACACAAAATACAATGACTGTTTCAAATCGAGTAAGTTAATTTTTTTTTTAATTAAATGAAAGTTCAGTATAATAGTTGACTGCATTTAAAAAAATAGATGGAAGTTGATGCCGCCTTGAAAGGTGAAGGCTTTCGTTCGTATTACATACAAAAAATAGAGGAACTGCAATTAATTGTTGCTGAAAAAAGTCAGAATTTACGACGTTTGCAGGCTCAACGTAACGAGTTAAATGCTAAAGGTAATTAAATTTATTAAAATAAAATTTTAAAAAATTTGCAGATTAAATTAAGATTAATTTTTTATATTAGTGCGCATGTTACGAGAAGAACTGCAATTGTTACAGGAGCAGGGCAGCTATGTGGGCGAGGTAGTTAAACCGATGGATAAAAAGAAAGTTCTTGTTAAAGTTCATCCAGAAGGAAAGTTTGTTGTTGATTTGGATAAGAATATTGATATTAATGATGTCACGCCAAACTGTCGTGTTGCACTGCGTAATGAAAGCTATACTTTACACAAAATTTTGCCAAATAAGGTCGATCCTTTAGTATCACTTATGATGGTTGAAAAAGTTCCGGATTCAACTTATGAAATGGTTGGAGGCTTAGACAAACAAATTAAAGAAATCAAAGAGGTGATTGAATTGCCGGTCAAGCATCCAGAATTATTTGATGCGCTTGGTATTGCACAACCCAAAGGTGTATTGTTATATGGACCTCCAGGTACAGGTAAAACACTTTTAGCACGTGCAGTCGCTCATCATACAGAATGTACATTTATTCGAGTTTCTGGTTCTGAATTGGTGCAAAAATTCATTGGTGAAGGATCACGTATGGTGCGTGAATTATTCGTTATGGCACGAGAACATGCACCGTCTATTATATTTATGGATGAAATCGATTCAATCGGCTCGTCACGTATTGAATCTGGTTCGGGCGGTGATTCAGAAGTTCAGCGTACTATGTTAGAATTGTTGAATCAATTGGACGGATTTGAAGCTACTAAAAACATAAAAGTTATTATGGCTACAAACAGAATTGATATCTTAGACCCTGCTCTGTTGCGTCCTGGACGTATTGATCGTAAGATTGAATTTCCTCCACCAAATGAAGAAGCTCGTTTAGATATTCTCAAAATTCATTCGCGTAAAATGAATTTGACCCGCGGCATTAATTTGCGTAAAATAGCGGAACTTATGCCGGGAGCTTCTGGTGCAGAAGTTAAGGGCGTTTGCACAGAAGCTGGTATGTACGCATTGCGTGAGCGTCGTGTGCATGTTACTCAAGAAGATTTTGAAATGGCTGTCGCTAAAGTTATGCAGAAGGATTCCGAGAAGAACATGTCCATTAAGAAATTATGGAAGTAAATTTCAAAACTTTTATATATTTATACACCGAGTATCATAAAATGATTATTGATTTGTAATTGAATTATCATTTCTTGGATCTTCACAATTAAAAATTAAAAACTTAGAATAACATTAATGTTTTTTGTATTTACATATTTTTTGTGAGAAACGCATAGTTAATTTTTTTTCTATTAAAAGCGGAATTCAAAAAGGTATTTATCATTACAGCTGACTTTAGAAGAGCATCAAATTGGAGTCTTCACGTACCATGTCCAGGCTGCAGTAGCGAGTGTGTTCAGAGGATCCATCAGAGGATAACAATTTGAGAAATCGGTTTTTGTCATTGAATAATTTTTGGCAATGAATTTGCATCGTAGTTTTCTAATATGTTATAATCCGAAAGCAGGGTGGTCTAACAGGTACTGCAACACTTGCAGAGTAGCAGTAACATCGTTGTGTATTAGATTAATTGTTGGTTTCTAATATTTAGATCTTATATAAAGTTATTACAGTTGTAGATGATTTTAATTTATATAAAAAAATGTTTTGTCTCAAATATTTTCGCAACATACCACAGTAAGAATCTGTGGGAAGATTGACTTTGTCTCAGACTTACTCAGCATCAACTAACCATTGTGTTCGCAAGAAAAAAGGGATCAAGTAAGATCCAATAAAGCAAAGGACTTATCTCGGCTTCAACAACAAAATGTTTGCAGAAGTTGAATAAATTTGAGCAGTGATTCTCAACTGAAGACATGCTGTAGCCTAAAAAAATATTCAATGTATTTTATAAATAAAATATTAAAAGCAACCGGTGCAAAGAGTAGTATCAATATTTTCCAAACAAATATAGTATTGTTAAAGGCAAAAATTCAATATTTTACAGGCCAGCGGTCCTAATGGCGTGTATCAGCGACCGGCTAACACTGGTTTCAAGCACGATACCCTTTTTTGTAGTTATCTAGGTCACCATCATGCAGAGTTACTGTCACACAATAAATTTAAATCTAGTCAGGTTTGTATATAAAAGAATTCAAAAAATAATTGTGTTGTATAAATCGAATTTTATTTAATATTAAAAATTAAATTACTATAACAGTATTAACAACCACTACAAGATCTGTATTAAAAAAGGTAAGTTAAAAATTGTATTTGTTATGAGGACAACAGCATACGAATATCATCATTGTCAGCAACATCTAAACACGTTTCACCATTTTTATCCAAAAGTTTACTATTTGCATTAAATGATAGTAAGACACGTATACAATCAATGTGACCACAACTAGCAGCATAATGTAACGCAGTCTGTTCTTCACCATCACGTAAATCTACATTAGCACCGGAATTGAGTAGGAAAAGTAAAATGTCGAATGCATTGCGATCTGCTGCCCAGTGGATCAATCCCATGCCATTTTCATCCAAGTCACTCAGTTGTGCAACCTTTAGGTTCATTTGCAAACCTGCGATATTGGCTTCTTTCACAAAGTCAAAAGCATCTTTTTCATGTTCTGCTTTTTGTGCTACATCATTCGGCGGTAGCTCAGTAGAATGAACTACCCAACTAAAGGCAGGTTTATATTTCTGTGCACTTATTAACTTTGGCTGCCAAAGTGGATCAAGTTGTTTCACCTTTTCAATATATAAATTTTTCGCAATTGCAGTGCTCATATTACCTAGTTCATTCCAAGCATTCCACTTAGCTCTACCTTGCATATTAAAGATGCTTGGTTTTTCTGCATTGCATTGACCAATTGTTGCCTGCTTATAATATCCGTACAATTCCAATAAGTCGTTTGGTAATAGTGTAGTGTGTATGCTTTGGACGTGGTCTGCTGCGGAAGCAAAATTCTCATCTATTATATCAGTTTCTGCATCACTATCTGAGAAATCCGACATTATACAAATCAGAAATGTGAAAATGTGGTTGTTTTATTTAAAATATATTTAAAAATTTTAATTTAACTTAATATAAAGTGATTAGATGATACGATCAGTTTAATTTATGCTTTCTGTATATTTATATAACTGCCCTCTAGCAAATGTTTTTGCTGCGCTTCAATTTTTTGCAAAGCAGTTAAATTGTTGAACTGAACAAATCCGTAACCTTTAGAAAGTCCTGTTTTTCTATCAAATATTACTGTTGCGCTATTGATACGACCAAACTCCTTAAAGTAACCTCGTAATTCCTTATGGCCAACTGTCCAGGGAAGATTTCCAACAAAAAGTTTTATTCTATTTACTGTTGCCATTTGTTAATACAGTATTGAATTTATAGATATCAACCTATAAAACGTATGCCGACAAAATTATTTTTTAGTTACGACTGGCCTAGTAAAACACGAGCAAATTTTCTTGATGAGGTTATTGAATAATTCACAGCTGATATAGAGTTGTATATGATGTTTTTTCAATTGTATTTAGAAATAATGTACAGGGTTGTTATTTAAAGTGTTATTACATATTATACTTGTTGGGACAACTTAAGGAGGATATAGACGATGCTACATATTTGCACACAAGGTATGCGTGTTATCAAATCGCACCGTCTATATTAAAGTTGGCGTACCAAATTTCGGTCTGAGACATGTATGCGTTAAAATTAAAACTTTTTAATTATTTGTTAAGTCTGCACACATGTCTGCTTGTGTATATCGAAATCTACAGACTTCTCATATTATAAGAATTTTGGTGAACTTTGGATGAGGTAAGATAGCGGAAAAAAATTGTAAAATAATTGAAAAAGTTGTAGACATTTATTTTCTTTAAAAGAAGCAAGTTTGAAAAAAAGTGCTACAAACAATTATTAAAGAACTTCATATATTTTAAAAATTATTTTGTGAATAAAAATATTAAAATGCAACATTTTAAAGAATTAAATTAAAAATAATTTAGTTTTGAAAATTAAAAAAAGAAACTATGTTTAATACTAAGATATATGAAATCTTTATAAAATGAAATAAAGAAATAAATAACATGTTGCTGTTATCATCATCTCAATTCCTTCAGTTTCGATTACCATTTTACACTCTGTACTTGCTCCGCTATTGTTATGCATACCTTGTTTCAAAGTGTATAGGAAAGCGCATATTTGAACTACATATTTGGTGTGCAAATATGTAGCATCGCTATATCATGCTTTAGGCCGTGTGCGAATTCCAGCAAATTTGATGGTAAATTGAGGGAAATAGTATATTATGTTGGTATGAGAGCGAATGTTGGCATTTATCAGAATTTCGAATAGAGTAAATTAGATACAAATTAGGTGAAAAAGGTGTTACCATTGTGAAAGTTATATAAGACGTTTAATAAATAAACATATAAATTTGAAAACTTTTGAACAAAAATGTTAAATAAGTGTAATGCTATGTTCAGACAGCCAAATTTCCTTAGTTTCGGAAAAATGAAACTAAGTTAGTTTCGAAAGTGTTCATACTGCCCAAATTAAGGAAATCATATGTTTTTTGTTTACATATGGAATTTAATGTTGATATGCCACTTGTAAAAAAAATTATAACTACAAACTATCGAAATGTAGAAGTGTTGTTGAAAATGCATTTGGACACTTAAAAGCACGATTTCGACGAATAGGAAAGGGTTTGGACAATAGAATTAATAATGCAAATATTATTGTGAGTGCTTGTTGTGTGCTGCACAATTTTTTAAATGAAAACAACAACCACATTAATGCACAATGGTTAAAAGAGCTGAAAAATATTGATAAAAACCAGCATCCTGATTATTATTATCTTCATTACGTTAATTCCAAATACCTGAATTTTGAGGTCATGTTATTTATTTTCGTTTGCACTTCTTTGGGATTGAGCATAAACCCGAGTTGATTTAATGCATCGCTGATTTCTTTATGCACATGCCCGTTCACCACGAAAGCCTTCCATATTGCACTCCCAAACCTCCAAAAGTGCATTTTCTGCTGCTTGGGTCCAACCGTACCTTTTTTTATAACTTTTCTTCTCCATCGCCAATGCTTAACTGTTTAAATTTTATTCAAAATATTTTCCCGGTTTTATTAAAGTCAGCTGTTTTTAAAAATACATGTCACTTTTTCGTTATCTCAATTTTATCTTTTGCTTAAAATTTGTTTTTAACATAGTTGCATTTGAAAATTCCCTTAGTTTCATGCTTCGTTTCAGCGAAATTAAGGCTATTTTCCTTAGTTTCGTTTTGACATTGAAACTAAGTTTTGTATGGAAAAAACAACTTAGTTTCGCTGAAACGAAGATGAAACTAAGATTTTTACGAAATTAAGGTGTGTCTGAACAGCATATAATAAATAAATATTTACATAAATGCAGTGCAAAAAAAGCCTAGGAAATTTACATTTACTGTATATGGCATTTACACTGTCTTCAAATTAGTCATTTTGGTCACAAATCAAAAATTAAAAGTAATGACACATTTTTGCATACAAAATATCAAGCGCAAATGAAATTAGAATGAGTTTCAAATATGTTCGAAATGCAAATGAATACATTGAACATACCTTAAATAAAAGCTTTTCATGACATTTTGACAGTTTGAGAAAGCTGTTTTTGACATATTTACAAAAAAAGGTAAACAAATATTTGGTTGTTGCATTTCCTTGAAAACTATGCACCTCCTTTTGAAACTTTTACTTCCCTTTTAGCTTCATCAAAGCTAAAAATAAGTTTTCAGTTTAAATTGTAAGATTTGAAGAAGGTATATTTTATCCTGAATCCAACATTTTTGTGGCACAGGCCAAAAATCAAATCAAGCAAGTTGATAAATCAGGTGTTTGAAATGAGAACAAATGAATTACAACGAATGTAAACACCTTCAAATGACTTATTTGAAATGATTAATTTTTGGCCAGTGTAAACGCCATATTACCCAGACTTTGATATTGCTTGACTATTTTCAAGCAATTATTTTTAACTACGAAAATAATATAAGCAGAATGCAAATTGAAATGTGTATGCACGCAGCTGTGTACAATTGTGTGGAGTCGTAAGCATAGTTAATAAAAATATTTCGCGTTTTTGTTGTTGAATTTGCATTTTGCTTATTTTATTTTCGTAGTCAAAAATAATTGCTTGAAAATAGTCAAGCAATTTCAAATTTTGACTATTCCTCAATTTACTCGAATTGGCACACGGCCGTAATAGCAATATTTACAGGAATGGACTTCCTAGTTTTTTTTCGTATACAATCGAATTTTTGTCAATTACATGTAAATTTCATTCCGTTTTAAGAGATTGAGCAAAAACATCAAACATATTCTGTAGTACTGTTGTAGTATTTTTTGCTGAGGAGTGTTCAAAATAAAGTCGGCAGTGCATGATGTGTAAAAGCAAGCGACGTTGGTGCACACCAAGTCATTGTGACAAGTTTGGTGTGTAATACCCGCTTAATAAAAAGCGATGTGAAATACCCGTTTAAAAAATTCTCAAATAACGGCATTCAATTTGCTGCTTCTATACGTAGCTTGTGTTTGCCTGTTGGCGCTTTATAGTTCACCTTAAGGCTTTTTATGATTTCATAAAGTATTTTATGGGTAAAATGGGTAAAAAGAAGTGCAAAAAGAATATGCAAAAATTTCGAAATAAAATGCGTGCCATAAAGGCAAAAGAAATCAGTGAGTGTTGGAATGCAAATTGGAACAGAAATGCAGAAGACAATGCAGAGATATGCTCTGAGTTGCCCATTTCTAATTATGCACCACCACAAATTGACTATGTCAAACGAGCTAAAGTAACTGATTGTACAGATGGAGAAACTACTCGACAAAATGCTCCTATCAGCATTTTACATGCAGTTACACCGATTCCCACCATGTATAGTTGGGTGCCAACTCAGGTTAATTTCATGGTGGAAGACGAAACTGTGCTCCATAATATACCATATATGGAAGATGATTTTTTAAATAACAGTAAATTTATAAAAGAACTTATAAAAGTATATGATGGCAAAGTTCATAGTGATAAGGATACAAAAGGTATGGATACACGTATTTTTATTGAATTAGTCCATGCGTTGACTAGAAAATATACAAAGGAAATGAATGCAAATTCAACTACAATTGCCAGCGACAACCTCGAAGAAAATGCTAATGAAAATGAACGAACTGATAAGAATAAAAAAGCTGGCACAAAAATCGCAGATGCTAAAGATGTTATTGAAAGTGTAAAGGAAAATCCAGGAGATGAGAATTATTCTGAAGATGATTCCAATTTAGATGATGGCCTGACGGATAAAGAAAAATCATTTCCACCAGAAATTTTTCAAGCTATCCGTGCATCATTTCCAGATAGAGGTACTGCTATAGAACTAATGCAGAAGTACATTGAGTTAACTAAGCATCAGGATCCGGAAAGACCGCAAAATTATACACAAAATATAGATGGCGAAAAGGCTGAAAGTAATACCCGGGAACGTACGATGCAATCTTATCAAAAATTATTCTGCCGCAGATGCTTCAAATATAATTGCTTTGAACATCGTTTACAAAGTCATGCTGGACCCGATTTGTCCAAACGTCGCTTTCCCGAGCTTAAACCTTTTACAGAACCTTGCGGCAATGATTGTTATATGCTATTGGATGAAGTGAAAGAAAAGTTGGCAGCCGGTAATAAAACACTGCCAATTGATTCATACAATGATGAAAGGTCAAAAGACAGCAATGATAGCAATAGTCAAATTCATAATAAACAGTTTAATATAAAAAACGGAAAAGATAATGGTGTTGCTGTAAAAAGTGCTGTATCAAAAAAAATAAACTTAATAATGGGTGATAACATGGGCACATCAAATACGAATTCTACGTGGACTGGCAGTGATCAATCCCTTTTTCGTACTCTTCAGACAGTATTTCTTAAAAACTATTGCGCTATAGCACAGACGTTACTGACAAAAACTTGCCAACAGGTATACGCATTTGCGCAAAAGGAAACGAGCGAGATCAATGAATTGCGACAAAATTATGCACCATCTGGTAATAAGAAGAAGGAACAACGATCACACTGCCGTAAATTCCAGCTTAAAAAGGAAGTTGACGAAAAAACTCATTTGTATAACTACACACCATGCCATCATCCTGGTCCATGTGATAGGAATTGTTCTTGTTTATTGACCCAGAACTTTTGCGAAAAATTTTGCAATTGCAGCAGCGACTGCCCGAATCGTTTTCGTGGTTGCCGTTGTAAATCGCAATGCAACACTAAACGATGCCCATGTTATATAGCAGTGCGAGAGTGTGATCCAGATTTGTGTCTAGCATGTGGAGCTAACCAATTTGAATCTACTGAAGTCACATGTAAAAATGTATGCGTACAACGTAAAAAGCATAAACAACTTCTAATGGCTCCATCGGACGTCGCTGGTTGGGGTATTTTCCTTAAGGATGGTGTACAAAAGAATGAATTTATATCAGAATATTGTGGAGAATTAATATCACAAAACGAAGCCGATCGTCGTGGCAAAGTATACGACAAAAACAAGTCTTCATATTTATTTAATCTTAACAATGACTTCGTAGTGGACGCTACACGTAAAGGAAATAATATACGTTTTGCAAACCATTCCGTTAATCCCAATTGCTATGCAAAAGTAATGATGGTTAACGGTGACCACCGCATTGGTATATTCGCAAAGCGTGATATACAGCCGGGCGAAGAACTATTCATCGATTATAGATATGGTCCAGCGGAACAATTAAAGTTTGTTGGAATAGAACGCGAACCGGAAATTGTTTTAAAAAGTAAACAAAATAAAAAATGTTAAAATTTTAAAATTTTAACAAATACATAATCTTATTTCATATAATAAATAAAATAAATATAATATGTAATTATAAAAAACTACACAATTAAAAAAAATACACAATTAAAAAAACTACACATTTAAAAAAACCACACAATTAAGAAAAATGTGAATAACACTCTCAACTATAACGTTTTATAAGTAAGTTTTAGTTTTAGTTTTAAAATAAAATCATATTTTAATTTTTCCATATACACTGTAAGAATTAATGTTTCAATATCATTATAATAATACAATTTTTTTTCTATAATACATTGTCTCTCAGTGTATAATTCATTTATTTATAATTTAAAAATAAATTAATGTTTTAAAATTTTTGAAATTCTGAAATTATATTCAATATATATCATATATATCAATATATATCATATATATCATATATATCAATATATATCATATATATCAATATATATCATATATATCAATATATATGATGAAATTATTAGAGCATAGGTGTGCCAACACTCATTTATAATAATTCCAAAAATCGACACTGCTGATTGACTCAATAAAGGCTCAGTCATTCAGTACATACCGTAAGAACTTAAGTTAAAGCGAAGTGGACAACAAAGTTCGCCGCTTTTGTTTATTTCGTTCCTATCAAATACACAGATGTGGTTGGTTGTGCACTTCGCTTTCACTTAAGCTCTTACGGTATGTACCGACTGACTGAACCTTTACTAAGTTAATTTTGATACTGTATATGTACCAGTTATGTTATATACTAACTAGGAAAAGTATAAGGTTTAAAAAGTGTGTATAAATGATTTTAAAAGTAATAGTATATTTAGAAACTTTTTTACAAAATATTATTAACTAAACATTTTAATATTAAATTTATCGTAGTGGACATAGTTTTGACATAATTTTTAATTTTTTTCTTGTTTTTGCTGTTATAATTTGTTTATTGCTTTCATTAATAATAATTTAAAATAATTTTGTTTTGTGTATATTCACAGATTTTAAAGTTTATTAATCAGACATAAAATGGGAAAATTCTGCTTGCTCTTTAAAAAGAATTTGAAAACCACCATACGCTTGTGGTACAAGTTTTTGATAGAAATATTAATAATAATTGCTGTATTTTTGATTATATATATAAATCCAATAGAACGTTACGAAAATGCACAGTGGAATGTTGAGAATACAAAGGTAGACTTTTTAGAAGAACAAGATTTAAATTCATTCAAAACTTTAGAGTGAGTACTTCATATGTGATGTGTCAGTAAAGTATATTTGATATATTTTTATAGAACTTTTGGAGACATAATAAAAAATATGAATCTGGTATTTACACCAAAAAGTGAATATGCGAAACTTTTCGCAAGAAATATCGTAGAGAAATTTAAAATGAAGACAGCAGTTGGTTATAAAAACGAGTATCTAATGACAAGTCAATTTAATCCAGAGAAGACTCTTGCTGGTATTGTTTTTCCAGAAGGGGAAAACCCACCCGATAATTTTACTGTTGTAATTCGTTTTCCAAGTACTTTCCGAACACTTGACTTAGATGATGCAAGCGAAATGTTATGGACAACTCGCTGCGGTGCTGGTGATGAGTTAGCAGACGCAGACGAGGATTTATACATTCGTGAAGGATTTCTGCAGCTGCAAACTGCTATTTTTCAAGAATTCATACAATATAAGGTAACTCCTCCGCCTGAAACGGATAAATCACGTCCGATATTAAAGCCATACTTGCTTGATACACCACCAATTTGTCTATATTTAAGCGAATCCAATTACGAATTATTCCTTTTTTATTTTGTTTTTCTTTATACATTTCTACGACTAATATCGGTAAGTAAAGTTAAAATTATTTAAATAGTATTATTGTGGTATAATTCGAATTTGTAATAAAATTTATGATCAATTTTATAACAGATTTCAAATAAATGTTATAACACATCTTAAAATCAATTTCATAACAGATTTATAGAAGATTTTAAATCAATCGATTTTGTTACAGATTTTAAATCAATCGATTTTGTAACAGATTTTTAACAGATTTTAAATCAATCAATTTTAAAACAGATTTTAAATTAATTTTATAACACATCTTAAAATCAATTTCATAACAGATTTATAACAGATTTTAAATCAATCGATTTTGTAACAGATTTTTAAAAGATTTTAAATCAATCGATTTTGAAACAGATTTTAAATTAATTTTATAACACATCTTAAAATAAATTTCATAACAGATTTATAACAGATTTTAAATCAATCGATTTTGTAACAGATTTTTAACAGATTTTAAATCAATCGATTTTAAAGCAGATTTTAAATTAATTTTATAACACATCTTAAAATCAATTTCATAACAGATTTATAAAAGATTTTAAATCAATCGATTTTGTTACAGATTTTAAATCAATCGATTTTATAACAGTTTTTAGACAGATTTTAAATCAATCGATTTTATAACAGATTTTAAATTAATTGTATAACACTTCTTAAAATCAATTTCATAACAGATTTTCAACAGATTTTAAATCAATCGATTTTATAACAGATTTCAAATTAATTGTATAACACATCTTAAAATTAATTTCATGACAGATTTATAACAGATTTGAAATCAATCCATTTTATAATAGATTTTAAAATTAATTATAAAAGTGTTTATCCAAAGCAGTTAAAATCTTTAAAGGTTTCTCACGAGTACCTAAAATTGTTTTTAATAGTATTAAAACAACTCGCATTAGCGGGCTATATATCTGATTACTAAATAAGTTTCATTATATACTTCTAAAGCGATATGGTCGTGAAATGGAAGAAAATTTGCAAGTTCATCACTGGAAGTATCGTATTAGGTATTACACGCATTGGTGTGCTCATTTTTGGGAATCAATGCTTCGCCTTTTCTTTTTGGATCTTTTAATTTTTTTTGCTTTAAAAGTAAAGGTAAAATATTTGTTAATGCTTTTAATAAGTCTGAACACAGAAGGTCTAATCGAATTTCTTTTTTTTAAGTTGTTTGAAGATGAAAGTGCTGGTACACTTTTTGCAGCCGACCCTGGTTTTCTGTTATTATTTCTATTATTATACAACATATCGATGATTGTGTTTGCAATATTCATTGTTTGTATAATAAGAGATAGAATCAATGCTATGCTTGTCGGCTTCATATGTTGGATTGCATCTTATAGTTTCTTCAGTATAATACTAGAGCGAACGAATACAATGAATTCATATCCTATACTAGGCTGCTGTGTTGTATTTTTCAATAATTTCTTAGGATTTGGTCTAAGTTATATGCGCCGAATGGATGCAGGTGTAACCAATTCTGGAGAATTTCCTATTATCTTCATTGCAATTGGAATAAATATAGTTTTATATTTATTTCTAATATGGATGGTACAAATGCTGAATCCTGGGCTTTACATTTTTCGATCTTTTGATTGTTGCGGTTTGAAGAGATTGTGCAGGAAAATTCGTCGACAAAAAAAAAAACCGAAAACAAAAATCGTAACATTAGCTGGGCCAACTCCAAGTTGGAACAATTTCGAGTATGGCCCATTGGGTGGTCAGGATTATGTTAAAATAAAAAACGTTTGCACTTATTACAAAAATAATTCTGGAGTACAGTTACTTAAAAATGTTTCAATGAGAATTTTCAAAGGTGAAATAACTGTTTTGTTAGGCAGTCATGGAGCCGGAAAAACAACTTTGATTAAAGTATTAGCAGGTTTATTAAAACCAAATACAGGAACTGTAAGATTTATGGATGAAGATCTTTATGAAAATTGGAAGAAAACATGTTCACAATATGATTTTGCCATGGGAACGAATCCAATTTTTAATTATTTGACAGTTGAAGAAACTATTATGTATTTTATTAGAATCAAAATGCAAACCACTGATGAGCGTCGTTTTGAAATGGAAACTCAGAGGAGTCTTAATTTACTAATACAGACACGCATCGATAAAAAACAACTAATAAACTCATTGGATTTTGATGGCAAACGTTTAATACATTTAGTTTGTCTTTTATCATATGAAACTAAAATTATCATCTTGGATGAACCCACCTGTTATATGAACCTATTGCCACAAAAATATTACTGGAATATATTGACTAAAGAAAAACAAAATCGTGCTATAATTTTAGCAACTTTTTCTCCCGATGAAGCTGAAATAATTGGAGATCGTATTGGTATAATTAAGGAGGGAGTCTTGAAAGCTTATGGAACGCAGTTCTTTTTAAAAACTAAATTTGCGCATCATTTAAACATGGTAAGAATTTATTTTTCATTATACCAGTATCCCAGTACCTATATATGTGCTAAATATTAAGTTTTAACAAATGGTTCTTGGAACAGACTTGCAAAGTTACATCAGACGTGTCAATAGATGCAATTACCAAATATATTAAAGAGTATATACCCGGTGTAAGTCCAGAACATCAAATTGGTGATGAGATTATTTATAAATTACCATCCGACAAACGATATATATATGAAAATATGCTTGTGCACGTTATTAGGGACAGGGCACAGTTACATATATTGGATGTAAGAGTATTTAGTTGTTCAATAGCTGAGATATATATGAAAATAGGCGAACAGAAAAGTAATCAAATATTGAATAAGAATGGTAAGTAAAAGTATTTTGAATATTTATATACATACTGTTTTAAATACTTTAATATGTTTCAATATTATTCTTCTAAATTTAAATACATCCATTATTAAAGAAGCATGACAGAGTTAAAAAGTTGTTTGTACTTATCTTGGTATATATGCAGCAATATATGCCTTCATAAAATCCAAATAAAATTTATTTATAAAATGCTATATGTCGAGGTCTAAATATAGTATAACTAACATCAAAGACTCATATATATAACTATATAAAAAATAATGTTAGTTAATGGTGGTTAATTCCCAAGTTGAAAACAAATGTATTTTCTAAAGTTAGTTATTAACTTGAGAACTAGTTGAGAACGACTTAAGAACGCTTTAAGGAGAATTTAGGAATTACATTGGTTATCAACTCATAATTTGTTAAGAATAACTTACGAACGAATTAATATTTGCTTAAGCCACCGAGTTAAGATTTGATGTTAGTTTTTCAGAAGGGGGTTTGTTGCAGAATTAGGTGGTTCTCAATTTCCGAATTAAAGAAATTACTTACTAAAGTAACGTATTTAAATTATTAAGTTACATTTACCATGAAAAATCTAAACAAAATCGATACAAAGATGTGGAAAATATACTGAAGTCAGTCATTATTCATTTTGTTCCAGAATTATTTTCTCTTAAATTAAACGTTTGGTTTATTAGGAGTAAACAGGAGGAAAGGTAATCCAAAAGATCTGTTATTAAATTTTGTCTTGCACTAATGATATATTTACCATAACTGAATATATATACTTTAGCGCTACAGAGTATTCGAGCAATGAAAGCTCGATTAGTTCGAGTATATTTGAGTTTAGGATTTGAACTGCTCGAATAGTTGATCTGTTTCATGTCAATTTACATCCTATTATATTATATATAAACATCATATAATACTCGTACATTTTTGAATAGTTCGCTATGCCTTATTCAAATACTAGATACTCGAGTAATGCTCGACGCTTTGAAAGTTTAAATAATATATTTAAAGCTATAATATACATAGATAAATCATTAATTTAGTACAGTTCTCTATGTAGAAAAAATATCTCTCTAAAGCTGAATATATATCTATGCAATCAATTAAGACTTTGAGATAGTTAGTTATAAATGAAAATAAATATAATTACGTACATAGTGTATATTATTTAAACTTCGCGATTTAAGAATTAAACTATATAGATATATAACGCAGTGGACGAAGTTGCTTAGAATAGCCGATTTTACCAAAATTTGTTGTCAAATTTATTGGCGCACTGGTATAATATAATCACGCATTATTCAAATTTTTTGCAATATATAATATATCGGTGATATACATATGTATATGTATCAGAAAACTGCAACTAGTTCTCACATACTACTTATATTTACTTATTGCATTCGCTAAGAAATGATTCATAAATGTTTTCGTTAACGAATGCCTGTGTTAATGAATCAACTTCACAAATATGCGTAAGTAGAGTACCATAAAAATGTCAATTGATTCATGATCATAGCACATACTCAGGTGAGTATGAATGTACTCAGCGAAAATGATTCACTCGAATGACTTGTAGTATTCTTGTGTGAGCTCTGTTGTTTGCTAAGCAAAAAATTTGTGTGTGTATGCTTTTGGTATGTGTTGTTGTTGTTAGCATTGTAAATGCATATGTTTTGTTTGTGTTCTTGAATATTTTACGTGCATAAAATTAGAGGTTGTTTTAGTAGCAAATTATATGTACAGTAAACAACAACAACTAAATTTTTCTTGACTGTGATTTAAATTAAATCATATAATACTCATCAATGATTTATAAATCATTCGACTCATGTATGATATACAATATTTTTTGTTTTTAGTTATATTTTCTTTATATTATAATGTGCTATATATATGTATAAAAACATGCTTTTTTTTTTCTATTCCAAAATTTATTCAATAATTCAAGAGCCAAACTACAATGTAATTTATGAGTCCGCTTCCAAAATTACAAGACAACAATTACATGCCATGTTTTATAAGAAGCTAGTATATCAGGCACCTACTATTATTCCTCTGTTGATGGTATTATTTTCTGTTATATTAATATTGGCTATCAATCCACTGACTTCCATATTCACATCATATGAAGATAGGGAGTACTTTATGGAATTGGGTGTAGGATCCAATGATACGAATAATGCTGCCATTTTACAGAACTTATTGGATTGTAAAACTATCTTAATCAAATCTCTCGATCATGCACAGAAGGCAAAGAACGGCGTTAAGCATCGAGTATTCAAACTAGATTCATTTGAATGCTCAAATAGAAGTTTTATTGATTATATGAAATTCAATGAAAGTAAAAAACACTCTCATTATGGTGGATTAGAAGAGCAGAAAAATAATACAGTATGGTTTAATATACGTTCATTTCATTCCGCGGCATACTCAATGAATTTGGCTGAAAATATTTATCTGGTGTAAGTTATTTCATAAAATATATTATTATCGAATGAATTGACAATATTGTTATCATATTTGTATTATATTTTTAGTAGGGAAAACAAGGGACGAAGTTTTAGGGTTATAAACAAGCCATTCCCGACACCATTAAAATTAAGAGTAGGTATACTGGAGGAAGAAATGGCGCATATGAGACTACCACTTACTGTAGGTTTGGTTATGCCTTTAGTCATCGCTGCCTTCATATTGCCGCTAGTTGATGAACGTTGTAAAAATTTACTAATTCTACAAGTGATGGCTGGTCTGCCAATGAAAATTTACTGGGGAGTAACATTTTTATGGGACATGGGCACGTTTCTTGCATATAATATTATTTTTATAATTGTACTGGCATTTACAACATTTGAAGGTTTTACTTTTTTACACAAAATAAGTAAGTTACACAAATAAGTAATCTAATAATTTAACTGCTATAATAATATATATATTTTTTTTAATCTTAGTTACATTTTGCTTATTAAATATATATGGTTTTCCGGCACTATTTACAATATATTTGCTCTCCTTGATATACCATAAAACGCCAACACGTGCCTTTCTAGTGGCAATAAGTCTACAACTTCTAACAGGTGATTTTTAATACGAGTGTATAAGTTTTAATTAGTTTAAAATTCATTAATTATTTATATACTGATTTAGTAAGCCTTAATTTATTTATGCGATTAGTCATAATTTCTGTAAATTGCTACATAATTTTTGCCTCTACCAGGTAGTTTTTAGGTTTTTTTAATGGGTAATAGATGTCTCTGAGTGGAAATGTTGACAGTTCAGTTGTGCATATTAACCAAACCTAAATTATATATAATATTTATCATCACAAAAAGTGTTAATATAGTCGTTCAAATATCACCCGGTTGAATATTAATTTGAAAGCATTAAGACAAATTTAGAAGTTTGAAAAACGCAGGATTCCTTACCAAAGAATTCTTCGGTTGATTTAATTTTCCCAGAAAATATAGTGTAACGCATTTTGTAATTTCGAAGGGAATTCACCAGGGAACGAGACCTTGTCATTAGGTGCAAAACACAACATTATTCAAATGTTTTTCACGTACTTATATAAAAAATGCTACTGTAAATTTTTTAAGATCCAGTCCATCAGTTAATGTTAGATCTTGTACTCATAGAGTTTATATTTAGTTGGGATATATTTTATAGAATATTAATAGAATCATATACAGAGAGTAGTTAAGAAGAGAAAGATGCCTATTCATATGAAAAATGCTACGACAAATTTTTTATCCAGTTCATCAGTTAATGTCAGATCTTGAGTTCATAGAATTTATATTTAGTTGGGATATATTTTATAGAATATTAATAGAATCAGATACAGAGAGCAGTGATACATAATCTGCTGATTGAAATTAATTTATGTTTTTTACATAGTACTGTGTGGTATAGTTAAAAATTATTGCCACTTGCATACTTCCAAACTACATAAACTAAAGTATCTGTACATGATGCGTAATAAACGGGCAATAACTGATTTTCTATAATTTTTATTTATATTTTAAATTTTTTAACTTTAGAAAACTGGTGAATTTAGGTAACTCAACTTAGCAGTATGTTGAAATAAGATATCCACATATACAAGAATATAACCTATTATTATTATTTGCTATAGTATAGAATAGAGATTAATCCATTATAACCCATTTCAATTGTTTCCATGAACAAGTATTAGCAATGTGTTTATATACTTATATGTGATATTAATTTAAATAATTTATAATATAATTTGTGTATGCAATAAATCTTTTATTTTTTCAAAACAGGAATTTGTGCTTATGTATTTTATTGGGAAGTTCTTCGCACCAATAAAATATTTTTTTATATTGCGTCAATATTTCCGACATTTTCATTATTAGATGGGATAAGTAATATTTATATTAGCGGCAAGGAAGTGGATTATTGTCAACGAAGATGTGAAGCATCAAACGGCTGCACAGAAGAAAATAAGTGTGACGTGATACCTCAATGCTGTTGTGGGTATTTTTTTATAATTTTATAAAATATATTGTTTACAGTATATATATTATTTAAAGTGTGATTTATTCTTTAAATTATTTCAGCTGTGGGCTTTATGACAATGGGCAGTGAAGGAATTTTAGTCTGTATTATATATATGGTCGCAACTGGAATTATAACTATAATTCTTATGTTATGCGTTACCATAAGTGAGAAGGAGAGAAAGTATACCACTCCAAAAAAGTAAGTAAATACTATCTATTAGGGTTATTTATGAGTTATATTATTTTTATTCCTATAAAAGGATTTTTTAATAAGTAAGTATACCACTCCAAAAAAGTAAGTAAATACTATCTATTAGGGTTATTTATGAGTTATGTTATTTTTATTCCTATAAAAGGATTTTATCTTACTTATTACTGGACTAAAACAATTCATTTTTGATTATTTTTAATCTACAACTTTTGTTACCTATTAAAAAATATCTGAACAGCACGTCTAAAAGCTAATTTAGATCACTTGTAATTTAAAATATAACTGTCCCTTATAGTTTTATACGTAGCCGTTAAAATAGGAGTAATTACGAATTTCATTTACCACTGGTTAAGAAAAATCAACCAATTTTTTTTAAAAATTGAATATGAAAGTATTCCTCACAGATATCGACCTAAAGCTCCATATTTTAGTATTCCCTTATAATTATTATAATTTGGAGTCCTCTTACAAAATAATTGTTGCAATATTGCTAAGACTTTATAGCGGATGAATCAAAACTTCACAGCTAAGGTCATATATTCACAGATATCGACCTAAAGCTCCATACTTTAGTATTCCCTTATAATTATTATAATTTGGAGTCCTCTTACAAAATAATTGTTGCAATATTGCTAAGACTTTATAGCGGATGAATCAAAACTTCACAGCTAAGGTCATATATTTTTTAAGTCATTAAAATTCTGTAACACAACTTCATTAAATCTTCTATTACTTTATTAAAATATTTTTTTCAATCATAAAAGCAATGGTATTTCTAGTAATAAGGAACTTATATATTATTAGGTTATCATAAAAATTTATTGATAAAACAATAGCGCTCGTCTGATACACTTCTATATATATATTGTATATTCTTCTCATTTTACAAAAAAACTTTATCATATATTTATACATTTTTAAAAATTTCTCTCCTCAGCTTGAAAAGTTTTAAGTCTGCTTGCAATCCCTACGACGATCTAGAAGTTATTAAACTAAGAAAGAAAATAGCCGATTTTGATTTAAGGGATGTTATGAGTTATCGTGTTGTAGTAGATCAGTTAGAGGAAAAGTTGACTACCAAATCGAAAATTCTTAATACTGTGTCTTTTTCGGCTTACAGGTAAGATAATACGTACCATACCAAAATATTCTCATTAAAAAATTGTATATAATTGAATATGTCAGAGGTCAAAGCGTATGTGTGTTTGGACATAGGCATGGCGGTAAAACAAATTTTGTTAAGCAGCTTATAGGTGAATCAGGTTATAAATTTGGAGAAGTCTACATAGAGGGTTATGAGTTGAAAACTGATTTACATATAGCTCATTCCTATATGAGTTACGTTCCTAAAGATTATGGACTTTTTCATTTGTTTTCACCACGAGAAATTTTACGTTTCTTTTTAATGATTCGTGGTGTGGTCAAGGAAAATATTCCAAAAATCATACGACAATATAGTACAATATTGGATATGAGCAAATTTATGGATAGAAAAATAATGTACTTGTCAAGTGAAAAAAAACGTAAGGTAAATATTGCTTTGGCATTGGCACAAAATTCTACTGTTATAATTATGGACGAGCCTACCACTGGATTATCTACTAATGTGTGTCGTGAGGTTTGGCTAGCTATACGCCATGCTCAAGCGATGGGCAGATGTATAATTTTCACATCGGGAAAGTGTTTAGAAGCTAAAAATATTGGAGATGATTTGATTTTATATCAAGACTACGAAATGTTAGCATATGGAGGTATTTGCTATCTTCGAGGATTATACACAGTTGGATTTTTTTTAGAAATAAAACTTTTGCGTGATGGAGAAACTGCTGAAGCAGCAGAGGCCAAGTAAGCACATGATTCAACAATTTTAAAATGCTTTATTGGATAATAATTTAATTTTCATAACGAATGATTATGGTATATAATATAAATATATAAGTATAGACTTTAACGACAAACTATAGCAGCTATTCTCTATTTCGGTTTGGTTAGGTTAGTCTGACTGTCTGAAAACCACGTATAGACTTATTGGACTCTAGCCATACCAGTTAGAATTAAAGCTCTATCTAGATTTTTAAGCAGATTTAACAAGTAGACTTGTTTTAATTTGCATACTTAAGTAAGTGTACTTTTGAAAGTGTATTTTTAGATCGGATCTTAGAAGGATTTGAGATTCATGCGCTACAGTTCTACCACATATACAACGTTCCAACAGGGCGCTCCTTAGTCTGATATGAATTCAAATAGTTTAAGCGTTCCTATTTAAAATTAAGTTTATTATATAATTATAATAATAATGGAATTAAAATATCTTTCCTACGACTATTTCTGGTAAATATTGAAGCTACAATTTAAATATCTATAAAAACTTGAGAATCGTTTAAAGAATATTTGCACAATATTATTTTGTAGTAAACGTAAATATATGTTTGTTAATAATGGATTATTTTTTAACTTGTGACGATAGTCATGATAATCTTATTAATAATTTGAAGGGGTTTGACGAAAATTATCAGCCAGTAACAATATTTTCCTACCTATTATTTTATAATATGCTTTTTAATTCTATCATAATTTACTTATTTTATTAACACTTAAATAAGAACAATGAGATCAATATATCAAGTATATTATGATATACACATTCTAATAATATTGCTTTTAATTATAGTCTTACCAAGGACATCGAGAACTTGCATCGCTTTGTTATGTTTCTGCATGAAAACTCAGAATTACGGTATCATACACATATATACATTATAAATTTTTAAAATTATATATATTAAAAAATAATTTTTTTTTCAGTGTCCGTATAGATACTTGGTTGAAGTACTACTGCCCTGTTGAGCATATAAGATTCACTGTACTGTTTGGTGCACTAGAACATAACAAAATCCGTCTCAATATAGTGGATTACACAATTAATGAGGGATCTGTTTGGGATATGCTCTACAATATTGTTAATGCCCGTGCTAGACTTAAAAACAACACTTAATATTTATTCTATTTTTAATAAGAGCCACATTTATAAACTTTAATTTTTTTAAACTTTTTATATGAACATTACATAAATATAAATAAAAATATATAAAAACATATATTAATTGCCTTTACATAATAAGTAATTTACCATATTTATTTTAGTAAATATAAATATTTTTTGAGTCTATCGAAACTGTGAGTCAGCCGTTTGGTTATAACACACTCGGTCATAAAAATCTAAGGCTTTAAACCAACCATAACAACCAGCGTTGTTAACGAGGATTATTTTTTGTTTGGATTCTTCACTAGGCTTTTTGGATTTTAGACTATTGTCTTACGGAATATCTTACGCAAATGGTCATAGAGAAAGACCGGTGACCTTACACAAATGACTTTAAATTCTGGTTTGACGGCAAACATGGTTATGTAGAGTATTTGCTGAAATTGAAAGGAAATAGTCTATTACGTACGAGCTGCTCCAGCCTGATGCAACCAGATTTAATTTGGATATATACTGTTAACAACTTGAACACTTGAATGAAATAATCAAGGAATAGCAACCAGAATTGGCTCTAATGGGAAATAAGTAGTCTATGGGAAATAGTCTGTTTAGTTTTATGTTCAAACTGAGAATGTTATTTAAATAATTTTAAAATACACTGCTTAGCTCTAAATACATAAAATAAATATATTGTGTGGTAGTGTGGATACAAGTATTCGCTGGCTAAGCATAATTGTTAAGTCCACGCCCGCGCAATGTGTGGGATTTCATATTCCTGTTGCATAAATATTGCAAACCAGTATGGGAATGGAATGTTAATAAACTATACGACATTAACGAACCCGTGTATACATGGCCAGCAAAAAAGAAGTTGTATGCCATCATGACAATGTCAGGTCACACATATTTTTGATGACTTGGAACAATTGACGTACCTTGGTTGAGAATTTTTTATGTATCCACCATGTACTGTAGCTCGGATCTTGTACTGTCTGACTACTCGTTCTTTCGGTCTATATAAAACTCTTTTGATTGTATTATATTGATCGATCGAAGAGCCTCAAAAAATCACATGATCGAGTTCATCGCCAATAAACCGCAGAAGTTCTACAGCGATGGAATATTCGAAAAATGGGAAAAGGTCATATATAAAAATAGACAATATACGATTAAAATCCCCAATATTAATAGTGAACCTTAAATTGACTGAAGAAGTGTGAGATCATCAAAAATTTGGAATATGTAATCACGATTGATTGTTCTTACTTCTATAGACAAAACACTTAACTAAATCATGATAACGAGTTAATGATGTGTTGTTTATTCGAAATACTTTTTGGATATTTTGCAATAAATCAATATTTGTATTTATTGTTGTATAAGAAATATTTGTGAATAATTAAATATTTAACGTTTATTTACAAATTTCGTGTATGTATATTATTCATATATATGATTTTTATTATTAAGTAATAGGCTATTAAAGCACCCCGACCTAAGATCTATTGTGCACCTAAAGGACCAACTAGGACAATTTTGGACTATTTATAAATCTTGTAATTGCTGTGGGCTTAATTTTACTCATTTGATTTGGGACTAAGATCACTCTTCGTAGTCGCGTCTACGTTTTGCCAAATTTATTTTATTTTGAATACTTAAAACTATGTACTTTTAAGTGATTTATTTTTTTTACTGTCTAAAAAATGAACCTTCATATATTGTATTATATAGTTTTTAGTGATTTTCCAAGTTTAACAATATTTTGAAACAAAGTAGGTCTTAAAAAAATAATTTCTAAGCTTGTCAAGTTATTATAACACAAAGTAAAAATAGTTAAACCGATTTTAAAATTATTTCATTTTATAACATAAACTTATTCCAGCGGATTTTCATATTTTGAGATAATAGAACTAAATTAGGTAAGTTAAAAATTATATCTTATTCTCACTTATTTATATTAACTAGATAATACAGAATACGGAAAAATTAATTACAATACTCTAACACTAAAAGTAACGAAGACCAAGGAAGGGGTGTTCATGTTAACTGTAAATGTTAATCACAGTTTGATTTTTTAAAAATAGTATATTTTTGCCTTCATTTATCATAGTGTGGACTGTCTTCATTGAAGATATTGGAAATATGTTGGGTAGTTAGAAAAAGTTTTGAAGGCATTTTCTTACAATTTTTTTGGGAATTTAATATATTCTAGTTATATTTTATATTCTAGTTAAGTTACCAATTACCTTTTAAATGGTTGATAAGTAAATTAATTGAGTGACTATTATACAAACTAAACTTTTAAGCGGCACTCCATGAAATGAAGCACAATCTACTGGTCACATAATTATAATCTTACAAGTTGGTTACAAAGTAAATAATATATAGTATATTATGAGTCAGAGCTTCTTAACCAATTGACCCAAAGCCGTACTTGATTAATATACACATTAGATCTGAAATAGCGCTTCAGATCTAGTTCGTTTTAAAGATTTTTTGATTTGTTAACACATAGTTTACTATATCTCTGACATGATTGAGCAGATGTATATTTTTGTTTGTATATAGATGATTTTTTGCATAACCGCATAAAAAAAGATCAGTGGTGTCAAATTGGATGTTCCTAATGGCCAATTGACATGACTTATATGTAAACTTGCATATCCGGGAAAATCTTGTTGAAATTACATATCTTCCACATCCATATCTTTAATTTTATGTTAAAAAAATGGTAATCTTGTGACTGTAATAAGCAGAATTGAGTGCATCTTGCAGAACTTCGGGGCGTATCACATTTCTAGACTAAATGTCACACTATACACTGACCGTTTATTATTATATATTATTATTTATATATGATTTCAATTAAATTTAATGTGAACTAAGGATTTTTTTTATAATTCTTTTGTATTTCAACAGTTCTACGAATAAATTCAGTAATCATAAAATGGGCAATTTTAGCTTGCTGATACGTAAAAATATAAAAACTTCTGGGCGTTTAGGTTTTAACTTTTTATTGGAAGTAATAATTATAGTGGCTATATTTCTTATTCTCTATTATAATCCCGTAAAACGTACTGAAAATGATAAATCGAAGTCAAAGGATGTGGGGACAAATTTCTTAGATGCAAATAATATTACTTCATTTCAAACTGTAGAGTAAGTATTTTTTATATTATTATTGATATATGGTATTTGATAGAATAATATTTTTTTGCAGAGGCTACTTGAATGGATATGTAATTACGAATATGAAATTGTCATTTACACCAAGGAGTGCTTATGCTAAAAGAATTGCCAAAAATGTTGTAAAAAAATTGAATATGAAGAAAGCTATGGGATATAAAAATGAGACCGTAATGATCAGTCAATTTAATCCACAGGATACATTAGCAGCTATTATTTTTCCGAAACCGAAGGAAAATGGCGGGATACCGGAAGATTTTACAGTTACTATTCGTTTTCCCAGTACGTTTCGCACCGTATCTGATTTTGAAATTCGTGACAACTTGTGGGTCACTCGCTGTAGTGGTAGTGATGAGGTGCCTGATGCAAAAGAGGATTTATACATTCGTGAAGGATTTTTGCAGTTGCAAGATGCAATATATTTTGAATATATTCAAATTTATTATGAGTCTTTAAATGACACAGAGAAGACAAGAATAGGACAACTGGATACTAGTCCTTTTACTATAAGACCATTTATTTTTAACGTACCTTTAACTTGTACCAATTTTAGTGGATCCAGATACCAATTATTTTTGTATTATTTTGCTTTCTTATTCACATTTCTTCGACTCATTTCGGTAAGTAGCTACAATGTAATAATAATATATGCCTAAATAAGTATTCTAGAATACATTCATTCTCAAAAACGTCATATTTTTGCAAATTATTTCTTTCCTATAAACGGTTTCCAAAGTTGACAAGCTTTGACTAGCATTAAAAAGTCAGTTTGCATTCCAAATTCGTTTAGCGTATTTCAGACAAAAGTATATATCATCGATTGGGGCCATTACAACTTCTAAACGAATAGTTAATGCTAAATATTTCCAATAGACTAACAGAACACTATAAATTACGTGAAATTTTAAGCAAAATTTATCGGGGACAGAGAGTAACAGCAGCGATGACAAGATTCAAGTCTATTGGAGCGCAGGAGGCCGGAATGACCCAACGCAAAGAAAGAAAAAACTCTGTTTTCTCTGTACATGTCTTGCTTTTCACAAGAAAATGGCAGCTACTTTAGAAAACCACTCATCAATAATTTAGGGGAGCAAGCAGAAATAAATATTAATAAAATTTAGAGATTTCTCAACCGTACGTACTTCTAATCGTAAATAAATAAACAGTTAGTTGGTAATGAGATTGTCACAGTAAAACTGTGCAATAGTGGCGATTGAACCAATAGTTCGGGTCGTTACTTAAAATAGTCATTTGATTAGATATAAAAAATTTGTATTTAGTATATTTCAAAGAAATCGTGGGAAACTTAATACCTAACAAAGTTTTTCATAGAAATCAGTGCTATATAAATAATTTCTTTTAATAAAACTGTTCTCTAACAACAATCAAAATATTCTGTGATCAATATACCATTTTCAAAAACCTATTGAGTTATCATGATATAAAGTTTATTATATTCTTCTATTACATGTACAGCGGTTTGGACGGGAAGTTCAAGAGAATGTCCTGGTTCATCACTGGAAGTATGGAGTAAGATATCCAACTCATTGGTGTGCTCATTTCTGGGATTCATTATTTCGACTCATTGTTTTGGATATTATAATTTTTTTAACCACAAAATTGATAGTAAGAAATCGATCAAATGTAATATTCACAATGTTGAAAATGAAAGAGAATTTTAATGTTTTAGGTTATGATTGTTATTGATGACAATGCTGGAACATTTATTGCTGCAGATCCTGTTCTTTTGATACTGTTCCTCCTGTTAAACAGTATAGCAATGATTTTGTTCGCAATATTTATTGTATGTTTAGTTCAAAATAGAAAAAATGCTATAATTGTTGGCATTATATGCTGGATTGCCTTTTATAGCTTTTTTAGTACAGTGTTGGAGCGCATAGACACCATAAAATCGATTCCTCTTTTTATCGGCTGCGTATTATTTTTTAACAATTTTTTTAGTTTTGGTTATAGTTTTATGAAACGAATGGATGAAGGGTTAACTGATAGTGAAGAGTTTCTACTTATCTTCATTCCAATTGGCATTAATATCATTTTGTATTTTATTCTGATATGCATAGTACAAAAAATTTATCCTGGACGCTATATGAATGGTGCTTCTAGGAAAAAAGAAGGAAAAGAAGTTGAAGAAAACAATTCATCGTCGCTTGAACCAACACCAAGTTGGACAAATTTTGAAACTGTTCCTAGCGATTTTGAGGAATATGTTAATTTAAATCATGTCTCTGCAAATGATTCTGGTGTGAAAAAACTCAAGAATATTTCAATGACGATATGTAAAGGAGAAATAACTGTTATTCTGGGACATCATGGATCTGGTAAAACCACTTTGGTAAAAGTCTTAACGGGAATGCGTAAACCGAGTGACGGACACGTAAAATTTCTAGATAAAGATATTTATATCAACTGGAAGAACGCACGTGGGGACTGTGACTTTTGCTTATCAACCAATCCGCTGTTTTATTACTTAACAGTTCACGAAACTTTTGAATATTTTAGCAAAATTAAGATGCCCAAAGCTGATACTCAGCGTATAAACACGGAAGTTAATAAATGTCTTGAATTACTGAAGCCGGTGAAATTTATTTCAAGCACTCAACAGATAAAAACACTAGATTATGATGGCAAGCGTTTGGTACATTTATGCTGTGTATTAACGGGTGATACTAAAATTATAATCTTGGATGAACCCACTTCTTATATGAGATTAATGGAACAAAGAGTTTATTGGAACATATTACGCAAACAGAAAACAAATCGTGCTATAATTCTGACAACTTTCTCTTGTGATGAAGCCGAGGCAATTGGAGACCGTATTGGTGTTTTAAATATGGGAATTCTTAGAGCATATGGATCACAATTTTTTTTAAAAACCAAATTTGGTCATTATATCAATATGGTAAGAAACTATTGAAACATGTATTGCATTAAGACATTAATATAGGAGTATTAAAGCCCAATTTCGGAATGCACATTTAAGTAGTGATTGCAGTGGTGTGTCCAGGTACATCGTCCCTTGACAATGTAATCTACATGTATTATATGCAAAAACATTGTCAAAACATATTTTCTGGTATATCTCTGTTTGGCAAAGTCCTGGCTGCGTCACTGTGATCATGTGGCACTAAAGTGACATTTATTTAAAGTTCAAGTACAATTTTAGTGCTCAATATGGATTTTAGGATTGCTTAACTTAAGTTTGCTTTGTGGAATTGAGGCTTATAATTCTTTATTTATTATATTTCATACTTAATTAAGATAATTAATACGTATATTTCAAACTGTGGCCAGCAGACATGTAAAGTTACAGATAACGCATCAATTGAAAATATCACGACATATATCAGAAAATATTTTTATGTGAATCCTCCTGATTCGAAAATTGGCGATGAGATAGTTTATAAGCTACCAGGCGATAAACGTCATATTTATGAGAATATGTTGGTACACTTAGTTAGAGATAAAAGCCAATTAAATGTTTTAGATGTAAAAGTTTATAGTTATTCAATAGCTGAGATATATTTGAAACTTGGGGAACAGAGAAGTGCTCAACTATTAAGCAAGAACGGTGAGTACAGTCGTACAAATTTATTTAGATCTTTACATAACATATATGTAGGTATAATTGTTATATGTAACATTATTACAATTTGACATTGACAATGTACTTGAGTATATATAATATCTCTATTTTATTTATCCGAATTTTCTCAAACTAATCCATGCAAGCTGTCTTATATTATATATACGTCAATTTTATAAATATTAAATCAATGTTTCATTTCAAAATAAGTTTAATTTATATTGTTTTCTTTTTTGTTCAAGAGCCAAATTACAAAGTGATTCATGAGTCTACAGCCAAAATTGCTTGGCAGCAAATATATGCTATGATCTTTAAGAAATTGAAGTATTTGCCTCATCTTATTATTTTTCTTCTATTCGTTCTGATATTTGCTGCAATAATGTCATTTTTGAATCCATTGTCGGATATGCTATCAACATCTGAAAATCGTGAATACGAAATAAGATTGGGACAAAGAAATGATACAGATATTGAATCTTTAGATTTCAGGGAATTTAGGAATTGTAACTCAACATTTATAACTTTTATTGATCATATGAAAATGGGAGACGATAGCGTTCCAGACCATGTTTACACTAACCACTCACTTGTGTGCATGGATAAAAAATTTGTTCAATATATGAAGGAAGATTCTAGTTTGGATTTCAGACCATTGGGCGCTATTACCGTTGCTGAAAGTAATATTACAGTTTGGTATAATATGCGAGTATTACATTCAGCATCATTTACGCTGGACTTGGCCGAAAATTATCGCATTACGTAAGTTCATAAACAAAATATATTAATTCCATACATACGAATATACGGGTATTATAGATATATTAATTAAAAATTTTTATTTCAGTTTGATGGAAACAGGTCAATACTACAGAGTTATAAACAAGCCATTACCAATGTCATTAAACACGAGAGTAGATTTGGTGGGCCAAGAGATGCTTCATATAATTGTACCGCTTGTGATTGGTTTAACTATGCCTTTGGTTCTGGCCTTTTTCACACTGCCATTGGTTGATGAACGTTGCAAAAATGTATTTATTCTGCAAATAATGGCTGGTGTATCATTAAAGATTTACTGGGGAATCACATTCATATGCGATATGTTCACGTTTTTTGTATATAATATTATTTTAACATTAGTTATGATAATATCAACATTTAAAGGATTTTCTTTATCGCATAAAATGAGTATGATTATTTGATTTTTTTTTTTTGGATACTTTCATAAGATATTGTTTTCTTCTCTTACAGTTATGTTTGGTCTAATAAATGTATATAGTTTCGCGGGATTATTTCTAGTCTATTTAGTATCGACGATTTGTCACAAAAAGGTAAGCCGATCGGTTTTGGTGGTTACGCTGCTCGTGCTGTTAACAGGTGATAATATTATAATTATAAAACAAAATAATATATGTTAACTAATCTTGAATGTTTATTATATGTATTTTTTAACTTACCAGCGATTTATCCACTCTTGAAAACACTGTTCTTCACTACTCTTCCATTCTTGATAAACTGATTATAGGATGTTCTTTGTTACGTTCTATTAATTTTATTTTATTGCATCTAATATCTTAAAATGCTACTCATGATAGCTGCTTAGAATGTGACGGATTCACATTTGGTGAAATGCAGATACTTATGTGCCTAACTAAAGATATTTATCGACTGTTTGACCTAAAGACATTTGCAAGCCATTATGCAATTTATAGCTCTATAGCCTAACTACATAATTTATAAAGTCTACTTCAAATTATATAGTTTCGTTAAATAGTATTATCGCGATTTCCGAGGAAACTTTTTTTTTAAGAATCACAAGCGTATTATTTTCAAAGCATTTATTATAAATGCTTTCTCACTACACCATCACAATGTAATTATATAGCTAAATAAATTTATTTAGCTTAAATTAGCCCTAATAATGACTACCAAGACTTGAACCAGAAAATCAGTACTTATTAAAGTTTGAAAAGCTCATTTTAAACAAGAGGAGCTCAACCGATATTCCTCTTTAATAAGTCTACGATTTATTGCATTATTGTTAGGTATGTCTTGAAATCATCTTTAGTAGGAACCAAAAGACCTTGTCCTTTTTGATGTAGTTAGTATCATCAGGTTCGGACGACATCAACGGGGCTCAATGAGAGCGACCACATTTCAAGACATGTAATTTCTACGTTGTAATCACCTTTTGGTGAATTTCACAGTTATATTGGTATTGATCTTTGAAAACAGTTATGGAAGTGTGTTTGATAAAGCAACTGATTTGTTTCTTCCAGAGTATATGTTTTTAATCAATATGTAACTTTAACGAGCATGTGCTGTTTGAATAGTGGTCATCGAGTGTTTTTTACAAACGAGTAGCTTCTAGAAATTTGTTTAATTTTAATGATATTTAACTATTTATTAAAAAAAAGATAATATTAGATACAAATTGTAAATAATTCTAATTATGTTATATATTACATTATATATCGGTACAGGGATATTTTCATATGTCTTATATTGGGAAGTTTTTTGGGTCAGTGACGTGTATTTTTACATCGCGTCCCTGTTTCCGACTTTCTCGTTACTGGATGGTATTAGTAATATTTACCTTACCGAAAAGGAAATAAACTTCTGTCGTGAAGAGTGTAAGGCATCAACAGGTTGCATTGAGAACGAAACTATGTGTGAGATAATTCCGCATTGTTGTTGTAAGTGTTGGTACAATATGAAATGACAGAGTTATTAAGAAGTCTATATATTTCAGCTGTTGATTTTTTGAAATGGGGTACTGACGGAATTCTGACTAATATTGCATATATGGTTGCCGCTGGTATTATACTTATAATTACTATGACATGCTTTGTTATAGGTGAAAAAGAAAGAAAGTATAGCACTGGTAAAGAGTAAGTATATGAGAAAAAAAAAATTATTTTTATCTATGCAGGTATCAATGAATGAGTAATGTGTTCTTAGTTAACGATTTTTATTTTTCAAAATATTAATTATATAAAATAGTAACAAAAGACTTGAAAAAATGCTTTTCATCAACAGAAAACATAACAATAGTATTCAAGATCTTGAGTAGCGAATACAATCCGAGTAAATATCGAAAAATGTTACTCCGTTATTAAGTTGGTTACCTAAAATTTTAAATATAACATATATCTCATGATAAAATTAAAATGAGATTGATTATTAACTATAACAAATTCGATAACTAATTATTTGTTCTCATTTCAGCTTAAAAGTCTATCAATCGGCTTGTCATCCTTACGATGATGCCGAAGTTGTTAAACTCAAAAAGACTGTAGCTAATTTGGACTTAAGAGATATTATGCATTATCGTATGGTTGCAGATCAGTTGGAGAGTAAACTAACCACCGAAGTACATGTGCTTAATACTATTTCATTTGCTGCTGACAGGTAAGGAAACAAATAGCCAGCTGGTATCTAAAATTTTTCATTTTGAATTTCCATTCCAACAATTTACCAGAGGACACAGTTTATGTATATTTGGGCATCGTCACGCTGGAAAAACAAATTTTATTAAGCAGCTCGTCGGAGAATCGGGCTATAAATTTGGTGAGGTATATGTAGAAGGATACGAGTTTAAAAGTGATTTAATTAAAGCATATAATTATATGAGTTATGTACCTAAGTCAGATGGGCTTTTTTATGCATTTACACCACGTTCATTTTTAACATTCTTTTTATTGATTCGTGGTATAGTTAGAGAAAACATATCAAAAATAATTCGCCAATACAAAATAGGATTAGATATGGGAACATTTATAGATCAGAAAATAAAGTATCTGTCATCGGATCAAAAACGGATAGTAAGCATTGCATTGGCATTGGCACAGAATACAACAGTTGTAATAATGGATGAGCCAACTACTGGTATATCTACAAATGTAAGCCACCAGGTTTGGCTTGCAATACGCTTTGCACAATCAGAGGGAAGAACAATCATTTTTACATCTGTAAGTTGTTTGGAAGCGAAACATATAGGTGATAATTTGATTTTGTATCAAGACAACGAAATGTTGGCATATGGAAGTATTAGCTATCTACGCGGACTTTATACAGTCGGTTTCTATATAGAAGTTAAACTTGCTCGCGATAATGTCAGTCCTGTAAATGATGCCGAAAAGTAAGTGTTTTCACAATAGTTATATAAAGTGTTTTAATTTTTCCGGGCTTTAGACTTTATTAGAATAACACTGAAGTTGGTCTACGAAGTAAACCGAAATATCCGTTAAAAAAAATATATTATATAAGTTCAAAACTATATTGCTTTATTTCATCTTAAGATTGTGTTTATATAATATAAATTATTATATAAATAAATTATTTTCAAAACACGACCTAAATCTCGGCAAAATTTAAACACAGAAGTATTGAAATCGACACTAATATAAACATTCTAATAATTATATTATAATATGTAACAATTAATAATAAGTGTTGTAATTATTTTTGATTTTTTGTTAGGTATACTTTTGACCTGTAAATAATAATTGAGATTAAAGACTAATGAATTAAATTTGAATCGGGCTCGGTTAGGTTATATGACTTTCATATATTGTCCATCTAATAAGATCATTTAATGATTAATTATGAAATTGTTTATAGTTAAGACCTTCACATTATTTTTTTTATCGAAAATCATATACATTGATTTAAGTATTTTGTAAACTTTTTTATTTTATTTATTTTAGAGAATCAACAATGTCTGATAGGTTGTTTGACGACAACATTTCTATGCTGTATAGATTAAAAATTTTAGAAGAAAGTAGTGATTTAGCAAATAGTATATGCTTTTCTCTGTCTTTTTATCATCACAGGAACTTGAAAGTCTTTCATTTTCATATTCAGCCTCATGGATAAGTTCGAATTTCGGAAAGCCATATTAGTTATACCACCGATATAAAAACAGAAGCCTTGCTGCATCTGTATAATTGGCATGAGCGTATATTCTAATTTATTCAAATCATACGTCATACGTCGTCAGGATTTATTTACACCTATATACATACATATATAAAAAACAATAGTTTGTACATGGCAAGTAAATAGAACCACTTGCTTGCACTTACTTGCAGATGACTTTTTTTTACACGTTTACATTTTTAGATTCAAGCATTCACTCAAAACCTATTCGTTTACTATTTACACATTTCATTTATTATTATAACAAATATTATATATAACACATATAACCAATATCAAAGCAGAACTCTGATCTTCGTGAGTTCAGAGCATGAGTTTTAAATATTACAACTTATGATCTCAAAATCCATATTCGTGTTATTGCAGGCAATTAATGCCTCAAAAATTGTTTTTAAGTCTATTAAATTATATTTTTAATATTACTTTATACATATATTACTTAAAAAACTTTTCTTTCTTTTAGTCTAGCCCAAGACATTGACAATTTACAACAGTTCATGATATTCTTACACAAGGACTCTGAGTTACTGTAAGATTCTTAATTATTTGTTCGATGTAAAAATGCTGATAATAAATTTATTTATATAGCACTCGGGTTGATAATGTTTTAAAGTACTATTGCCCTGTTGTACGTATTAGGTTTACAGTACTTTATGGCGCATTAGAACATAATAGAACGCGTCTCAATATATTAGATTATACGATTAACGAAGGCTCTATGTGGGATGTGGTTTACAATATTGACAATGCACGGCGCAATTTCGTATCCAAAAGATGAAAGTAATTTATATAAATATACATATTTTCTTTTATATTTCTCACATATTTCTTTTAAATTTAGAAAAATATCTTTTGACTTCATTGAGAAATTACAACTGTTGTGTTAATTCGTTTCCAGGTCAAATGTTATTGACATTACGATAATGGATGTGAATAAACATATGTCGGGTTGAAGCATACGTCCACAAGGCATATTTGATTTGTCCTTTGTACATATTTTATGAGTGACTTTGGACATTGAACTAATCAAGTGCAGCCATAGTTAAAATAACGTTTTTATTTTATTTGTTTGTGTTAAAAAAAATATAATTGAAATTTTTATAATAACGTTAGAATATCTTTTATATAACATTTCAATTTGTATATTTTAAATTTTCATTATTTCGAAATAGTTTACTTTATAATTTTAATAAAATATTGTTAAATTAAGAGTTACAGAGGTATGATATGAAGGCATGTATTTAATATGTTGTAAATTGTATTGTTTTTTTTTTACAAAATTATCTATAGTATCTTCATAAGAAAAAAAGTCAAAAAATTAATTTTTATTAAAAATAAGGTTTGGTGAAATATTTAGTTTTGCCATTATATTATTTTCATTTAAACTTGCTACATACATATATACTAGAGGATCTAGTAAACAACAAGATCCATTTTTAAAAAGGATTTAACCTCATTAAAAATTGCACCTACAATTAAACTTCCATAATTCGAACTTCTATAACTCGAATTTTTACAACTCAAACCTAATAGAGTGCAACAGGGTTTAGAGAGCAAGTTACATACAATTCTTTACATCGAAGTCTCCATAAGTCAAGCTTTTCATAGCAAAATGGTACTTCGATGAGCCAATTTACGTAAGCGAATCTTTAGGACCGCTATTATAACCTGACTTATTCTAATCTATGTATTTGTTATGTGGAAACTATATGAGATTTAAATATATATATTTTGCTGAAAGGAGAGATATTTATATTTTTATAATCAATAAACAACAACAATATTTTGCCTTATATGTATAAATATTTGAAAACGAAACCCAACGATATTTTTGTTGGCAAAAAATATTTTTTATAGTTTATATAATGAAGGAGTATTAGTTTTTATCTAAATGTAAATATTATAACATGACTAAACAATATTTCTACAATTAGAATTTAGATTTTAGATATCTATTAAATATTAATTCCCACTCTTTATTTTTAAAAATTTAATAGCATTGCCATATTGATGGAATAGGAATAATTTTTAAAATTTACAACAAAAATTTGTAATATAAAATTATATATTTAAGCTCATAAAAAAGTCTTACTTAATAAATTTACTTTTATATGGGGTTTAGAATACTGCTGGTGGAAATCGACTTTGCAACCAAAATTGATTTTAAAATATAAAAATAGGTAGAATATACTTCGAATTTTATATGTAAAATGTAAACAAACAACAGCTGAGCTGTAAACAGAGGCACTGAGGAAGTAAGTATTTAATAAAATCTTTGTTTTTATTAATTGAATATTTAATTGATGTATAAAATGTATATAAATGATTTAATGTATCAATTATACATTTAATTTTTTTGTGTGATAATATTAAATGAAATTTATTAAAGTTCTATCAGCTGCATACGTGAGCTCATTATAATGTGAACGTTCACTCATTAATATAAATGAACAAGTGCCTAAATGAAACAATGGGAATGTACTATTAGTTACAATAGCAACGACTGAAATCTTTCATGGATAATATCATCTCTGCGAAATTCGTAGATTTCTTTAATTTGTATTTGTAAACGTAAGTAAGTTAAAAATATGTGAGTGCTTCTTTTATAAATATTACCGCAGCATAAACTTTAGAAAATGATATATTTTGTGTTGAAGATTATATTAATAAAATTTGGATTTTGTTCGTATTTAAATGAAAATCGATAATATTTGAAACATCTACTATATTATTTTTAGGGAGATATTATATAGGGGACTATTACTGAATTAGTCTCTTTCATCATGGCATCTTTTTATTCATTGTTTGATTTTTGATAAATACATATCTACCAGTGGTATCACGCATGTTTCTCCACAAAATTGAAAGTTGCTATTTATGTTGGTTACATGGTGTTCATTTAATATTTTCTATTTTTCTATATAGCTTTAATTTACTCGATTTTTTGAGTTTATTTAGGCCGTGTGCGAGTTCGAGTAAATAAAGGTAAAGTAAATATATTTTCTAGATATTTTTTGCATTGCATTTATATAAATATTCATTAACTGCACTTATTTATTATTTTCTGTTAAAAGTTTTTGAATGTATTTATAAATTTATTAAACATATAAAATTTTTACAATGGTAATATTGGTAAAATATCAATATTCGCTGCCATGCCGACATAATTTACTATTTCGTTTAATTTACCATCAATGTACTCGAACTCACACATGGTTATCTTTATAGTCTATAGTTCTATCTGATTTTATAAAGCAGTTTTTCACAATTTGAACTTCTAACAATTTTTTTTTAAATTAATAAAATTATTGATATATTTTTTAATATATATCTCAAATTAAATAATAATTTCAAAAATATTATTATTTCAAATATTTAAGTGTTTGTATGTAAACTAATGATATTGATTTATTTTATTTTTATTTGAATTTAGCATTTGTACTATACAATACAATAAATAATTTATTGAATAATAAAGCAAATTTTTCGAGGTGGCATCACGGAAACATATTTTTCTATCTCAACAGCTGTGACGTCATATGTTGAGTACACTTCTAAGAACAGCTGTTGTTTATTTATTTCGGCGATGGAGAGCAAAAATGATGTAAAGCTTGTTAAAATTATTAAAAACCGAACACGACTCACCCGTGTGTACAAAAAGTATAGGCAAATATTATAATTCTTTAGTAATGGTTTAGAATTCGTTGCTTTTTGTACTAAAAGTGCAGGGCTCTATAATAAAAATTATTTAATAATTTTTAGCCATTAACTAAATTATTTTTTTAATATAAATTTTATTACATATAATATCACTAAATAAAAATAAAGTGTATTAAAAAAGAAAAAAGTTTTAGAATAAACTGCGATATTTGTTGTTGGCTGTGTTTGTGATGAAATTCTTTTGCATTTCTTGTTTGGTAAAATGAAAAAAATGACAACTACAAAAACAACAAATGCATAAGCAATAAATGTAAATAAATTGTGATTTTATGTAATGAATAAATTTACTATTTATTTGGTTTATTGATAAAATTGAATAAAAGAAAAAATTGATTTTTTTGTTATTAAAATCGGAGCTGAAGCAGTCCTACGTATTTTTTTGCGCACAGTCCAACGAGTTGAATTCGCAAGCACAGTGACGCACAGCCCAAAATTCTAATAAGAAAAATGCAATTACACCAAACGGAGTCCATTCGATAAGCATTCGATTCGTAAAGAAAACTTCAAATTGGATTTTTTTTTCATGTATACAGGGTAATTTTGTGTTTATGTAATTTCTAATTGATAATAAAATATAATAATGTATATACAAATGCAATTCTTGGTGTGTGCGTGTTTCAGTTTTTAATTATATTTTTATAATATTACATAAAAAAGTGTTAATTTTCGCTATCGGCTTTGAACTATGAAAATATTTTCACAGTGGGAGAATTTAATTAAAATCCAGTATCAACTAAAATAATGTTTATAACTGTGGTATGGATTTTTAATAAGGTGTTAAATACACCTTATTTGACTATTTATTCCCCGTAGTTTTCGGTTGTTTATTTAATTTGTTAATGATTTGTTTGTATTTGAAATTAATTGAATTTTGACAAATACATAAGTGTATTTAAATATGTTAATTTTATATAAATGAAGTAATTAATTTAAATATCTTAAAAAAAATAAATTCGTAATAGATATACAAGTCTGTATAAAATCAATTAGTCATATTTTAAATACTTTAAAAAGTAAATAAAAAATATTTTGTCAATAAAACAGCAGGCGAAATTTTACGAGTCAATAATATAACCGGCTAAGTAAATAAAAAAAGAGCAAGGAAAATAATAAAAAAAGGAGCTTGTTATACTCTGGTAGCATTTAAGTGCAATACAATATATCATTTTATGTACTTACAGAGATACAGATTGTCAAAGACTCTACTTAAAAAAGCATGTAGTTATATAAAGCTATATTTCTCTAAAAAAGGTTCAAAAGAGTTAAAATCTTCAATATTTTTCAGTCATTTAAATACGCTTTAATTTAATGCTTAATACATCTTATAAATAAATATATATATATAAATATATATATATATATGTATATATATATATATATCAGGCAGCCGATATGTTATCTGATTGACGCAATTTAACAGAATTCAAGAATGAAATAATGGAATATATACATATATATACTAGGGTGTAATATATAATATTTATTGTTTATCCCAGAAGAAATGGAGTTAGCATCAGGCAGTCGATATATTATCTGATTGATGCGATTTAACAGATTTCAAGAATGAAGTAATGGAATTATCATCACATAGTTGATACGTTTTTATTAATTATTATGTTGAGGCTAGTTGAGTCAGTGCACTTGAGCACTTTTACTCTCTATTAACTGCGAGGTTTGTTCATAACCCCTCTCTACGCTTTGACTTGATTATTGTTTATCACTTCATCAGACTAAGCAATGATTGACCTCAGATCTACATATCTCCCCGAGGAGCCTGGTACCATTCTGAGTTGTTGGTAAGCCTGTCCTTTTTCGTAAATTATTTCAGTTATAAGACTTGAAGACACGAAGTATGCTTATCATGTGTGCCCACTTCATTCTCTAGAGTAAAATTTATTGTACAAAAACTTCAAAGATTGGGCTAAAACTTAGAGAAAGAAAAAGATCATCAGTAGTGAATAAGTATCTTTTGTCAATTTAATTACAAATCCAGGAGCTAATATCCATCCAACTAATAATATACCTTGAAAAGAAAAAGATATGAAAGTAGGACAGAAAAAGATGTTATTCTCAGAATCAATACGGTCTTTTTTCTTTACAAAAATATATATAACTCCATATATTGTATTCACAGTTACAAAACATCGCATATTCAAAACTAACATAAATGCTGTTCTTTTTTTTTTTTTAAAGTGAAACGTGAGGGAGTACTAGTGCCTACTAGTCAAACATACAGATTTCATTAATCAATATGCACGTCCAATAATGCACCACAGAATATCCGATTTGTGTGCTTACACAAGTCAAATTAGAGCTACAGAGTAAATACGAAATCGTAAATAGTTGAGTAGGGCTTATTTTCAATTGATCGGGAGATTCAGCAGGGTCTTACGTGCTCATATGTCTTCAAACGTTGCTGTATAGACACCAAAGATACAAACTCTTCAGGGATTAGCCCAGAAGACGTAAATGAAATCATTTTGAATGATCTGAAAGTTAAGCTTGTTATTAGTTCGAGAAGTGTATATTCTTTGCTCACAGTTGACCAAATATCACAGTGTTGATGATTTTGAGTACTGTTTGGAGGTGTTTTCGCATAACAGAGCATCTCATTTCTTGATGGTATTCAACTAATATATCGCGCAGAAACTGTTATAAAATTTTTATATAGTTATAAATATTATTAATATTAAAAGAGAGTTCTCTAAAGCGCTACACACATTTACGGAACCGCGTTAATCTTTACAGAAAAAATGAATTGCTTTGACTGCACGTAAGGATGGAAAGATAGAAACACAATACAAACCATAATGTCTGCTATAATTCCAAATAGTTGCTATTAGGTTTTCGACCTAATGTTCTGTTGACCCTTACAAGCACTGAGATATATTTAATATATAATTTTAAAACGTCAAGTAAGTGAATGTATTTCGAATGGAATGTACTACGAAGTGCAAGAGTAGTGGCTTTATGTGATATATTGAATGAATTGAATGAGAACACAAGCAAATAAAATTTTTTTTTTAATTTTTTATAATTAGTTTAATTAATTTAATTAGTTTAATTAAACTTTGTATTTCTTGATAATAATAATTAGTATTTTTATATTAACGGGAGATTGAAATATGTTTTTATCTATTAATTTGTCTAGGTTAAAATTAAATTCATCCCACTGTTTAGTTAATATCTATGCATTTTCTTTTCTGAATTTTCTGAATTGTAATAATTAAATTCTACAATAAAATTTAATTATTGATTTTTGTTTTACCGAATAATTTCATTTCCTGGTAAACAACCATTGTATATTTGTTTATATACTTGTGTGTCGATAATATATATACTAATGACGCAACTATTTGGACATTTAATCGTTTTTTATAATCATTTATAATTTAATTAAATTAGCATATAATTTTTTTGACAGACTATTTATTAAATAATTAAAATATTTCAACTAAGTTTAAACTGTTATAATTAACTGTATTCTATAAATGCATGACATCCTCTAAATATAAAAATTTTGATCTATGTCAACAGTAACTATCTTTCAAATATGAGATATGCATACCAATTTAAATATGTTGGATAGTACGTTGGGTGTTCTGTCAAAAAACATGCTAAAAGGCTAAATGAGTAAGAAATGTGATAATGATTAAGCATTAGTTCATTTTGGTCTAAGATAATGGAAAAAGTATTGACCAGTACGAAATTGATAAGATTAATTATCAACTTCATATGAAAGCGAAATTTTATTTTTATTACTAAACATTGTCACATAAAGGTTTTAAAAGACTTAAATTACTATAAAATGGCTGTAATATATGTCTTGGATCATCTTATCGCATGGCATAAATCACTACTTTTATAATAGGAGAAAAATATTGAAATCTATAGTGTGTAGCTTAAGCTATCTACAACCACCTTTAAAGAATTTAATAAAGAAACCATTCATATTTTTAATCGTCACGTGGACACTAAAAATTTTAGTCTTTAAAATAAGTTCAATAAAGAAGGAGAGAGAGAGAGAAACAAAGCAAAGTTAGCTTATAGAGGGACATCTCTGTATTATTAACATGGTTTCCTGCAAGGTAGGCTTAACATCACGATGTTCTTCACACATACATTGTTACATTGCGCCCATGAACGCCCCATTGGAATCTCCTTAGTAATTCTGCCGGTTATCAATGAAGAGATGCATGCAAGACATAACTTGCATTTTGGTAGGATGCGAGACAAATCTTAAACTTCTGCTACAATTTGGGCTGTAGCACCTAGTGTACCTAAATGCAACCATTTAACTGAACATTCTTCCTGCGTAAGTTTGGGTATTAACCACAGCCACTACGACTCCAACCTCAACTGGTAAGGTCAGCCGAAGTTGCGGGCCATTGACCCTCATAGTACCGGATTTACACCTTCGGTCGAGTGTCGCAAGTGCCGCGTCACTTACTACCACGCATATTCCCAGCATAAGTGTCGGTGTGGTACCGGGATTTTAGTCGCCTTTTACGACAGGCATGCCAACCTCAGGAATATTTTTACCTCTTACTTGAAGGGGGAAGCTTATGGAGGGAACGGGAAACATAGCAAGCATAAGAAAGAGTAATAGAAAGAGTTAGGCATGGAAAGAGAAAGGGAGGGAAATAGAAAAAAAGACGACCGAGAGAAATAGAGAGTTTAGATAGAGATAAATTGAGAGATAAGTTTGTTTTATAGGAAATTAAAATGTGTCTATAAGGCTTCGACAAATATAGCGTTGAGTATATCACAATTCAGATTGTAATAAACATCATTTAATACGAATTTTATATAAAATATTGAAAACAAATAATCATAAATGATAGAAGCTTCAGTTTTAACGTTACATGTAACAAGGTATAATGAATGAGGAATAATAACCATAAATGATAGAAGCTTTAGCCTTGACGTTACATGTAACAAGTGGAAACGAATATCATCTACTGAGATTTCTTTAAATTTTTACTATGATTTACTAAGGCCGTGTGCACTTTTGTCTTTACCTTATTTACTAAAAAAATTAAATTAATATAGAGTTAATTATTATTATTTACTATTTGGTTAAAAACGTTGAGTAATATAGTGGATAAGCATAGGAGGATAAGAAATAAAGTATCAGAACAAATTTCGTATGAGCTTTATGACATGTGAAACCTTCCCAGTGTTATTTTTTCTAAAAGCAAGCATAATCCGTTAAATTTTTTTCATCTTTTTAACAATTAAAGTGATGTTATCAGAACTTTTGCCATTTTCAAATTCGTCGTGGCTCTCCTGACAGAGTTTCTGATATCTTGCAGAACATCATCTCACATAGATTCATTGTTAAAGACAGGATATAATATTTTGGAAGTATTGGTGTATTTATTTGTATTTGTAAACATAAACTAAGTATCGATATTCCCTGACAGTTTCAGTGTACATCACTATCAGTGCAACCAATACATAAAAAAAAATTCGATAAATAAGATACATTTTGTGCAATTTCAAGATTCTCATTACTTTAGATTACACCCGGT